CTCTTCCTTTGGCAAAAACGCACCATGACGCTGTAGAGGACATTCCAGGCCCAGGGCGAGGTCGCGTCCCCCTCCCCAAACCCACGTACGGGCAAAAACGAGTCACTCAGGGACGCCGGGGATGAGTCGGACCCAACTTTAACGCAGTAACGTCGGTGGCAATGGAAACCTTGCAAGACCTGCATGAAGTTGCCACGGGGGTCGATGCCATGATGGGTCAAGATGTGCCAAAACGGGGCCTTGTTCGCAGCGGGGTATGCCTTTTTGAGGTCGAGGAGTCCGGCCACGTACTTGGTCCCATTCCAACCAAAGCTTCGCCACGCCGCCACCTCCTCATCGATGCGACGCATCATGAATAATGCATCGTCTGTACCCAACCCTCGCCTAAATCCGAAACTTTCCGGCAAAGGCAGCTCCGACTTCTCAAACCAGTCCTGAGCACGACGATTGACAATCTTTGCCACCAAACGGGGAATCGCCCAGAGGAGTACCACGCCCCGCCACGTATCCATGGAGTGAAAAGGTTCCTTCTGTTTCCACAAAGGGACCTGCCACCCGGGACCGTCCAAACCCAGGTTGACCCAATCGCCCGGCTCGCTGCACCAGAGCAAATCAACACAGCCTTGACGTGCTCGGCAAGGAAGTCGTCCTTAAAGAGCGCCTTAAGAACCACAGGTGGAACCCCATCCCCGCCGCCAGCACCGCATCGAAGATCCCGAACAGCATCACGCACCTCTTTGTCTGTCGGCTCCTCATCCAAAGCCACAGCCATTGCCCTCATCTCCTCCGAGACAGGCAGGGCATCGATGAAAGCGCGAACCTCGTCATCCAGGAACTCCGGTTCGGAGCTGATAGACTGAAAATGCTCTTGCCACGCACTAGGGGCAAAAGGGTTTAGGCGAGCGACCTTCTGAAAGCCGCCCGACTGCAGCTCACGAAGCGACTGGTAGAACCGGAAGCCGTCGGCCTCTTGTGTTGGGTGCGAGGCCAACAACGCTTCCCAGTAATCCTTCTCCAATTGTCGCTCCAACTGACGTTGTCTTTTCTTTAGTTGATTGTGCTCAACACGCGCCGACTCTAAAGCAGCTTGTATATCCAAGTTCCCCCCATCGGCCTCGGGTTTCGGGTTTCGGGTTTCGGGCTTGGGGTTTCGGGTTCTGGGATTTGGGGTAGAATATTATAATAGCAGAATAGTATACTCGTAAAGTAGTAAAAGAGTATGCTCATCTAGTAGAATACAGTATGATCGCTCGTATTATCGTAAAATCGTGTGATCGCATTGTCGCACAATAATCTAATAGTATAATCGTATAATAGCATAATCGTATAATCGTATAGTAGTATAATAATATAATAGCAAATAGTATTACAGTATAATTGTACAATCGTATAATAGTATATTAGTTCAATATTCGTTTAATAGTACAATATTAATATATCTACCGCATAAGCTTATAAGAGTGTAAGCGTACAGTCTTATACTAGTATAGCAAGGTCTCATAGTATCACATGTACCTTAGTTTTGTGTGCAGATACTTTTGATTAATACGATAGTCAGAACAACAATCCCAAGCCGCCTGCGGCAGATGTCGTAGAGCGCCTCGTTGTCGTACATGATGGTGACGTCCGTGTGCTCTAGCAGGGAGTGGACACACAAGACCTGCTTCAAGGAGGTTTGGGGATTCCCCCCTCTTAAGGTAAGGTTTGGGTTTAGAGCCATCTGAGGGCACCATGTTCCAGGGCATAGGGCTCAGGACTTAGGGCTTAGGGTTGAGGATTTAGGGCGAGCTAGGATCGGCCATCCCAAGTTGGGTCCCAGGCGCGGTGTTGTAGGGCTCGACCACTGCCGTTGCCACCTGAGGGCAGCACCAGACCGTGAAGGAGATCTTGCTCTTCTTCCCGTAGTCCACGGACAGGCGCCTCGGCGAACAATCAAGAAAACCATGTACATCAATATAAGAGTATAAAAAACACACAATAATCGAAGGCTCCGCTACGCAAGATAAAACAGCATGCCGAAACCATACACAAGAATTGAAGTTGCTAAGTCACAAGTCAAGTGTTCAAAGTCTAGTGCAAAGCATCCTTGGGTTCGTACTCTGAACCCTTAATATGGGATCATACACCCTATACTACGATAATCGCTATCAAGCCAGATTCGTTTGGACCACAAGCCCTTTTGGGATTCATGTGAAGCAGGGTTTATATTTCTGTTTTGGTGAGTGTATATAAGGTTCCTTTTTAAAATTGGTGAGTGTATATATTGGGCGTCCTTTTGGGGGGTACAACAAATATATACCCTACTTCATGTAGTCCCCAAGGATGACATATCCCAATCCCCTGCGAAAAATCTTGCCATCCAGGCGGAAGCGCTCGAGCATGAGGCAGCCCAAGCCGGAGCCGGTTCCGCCTCCGCAAGCCTTGGATTTTAACCCCTCCATAAATCGATGCAGAAACCACGTCCCTAAACCTAAGCCCTAAGCCCTGAACTCTACTTTTTCGCTTTGGTAGAGTTGGTTGAGGGCAACGCTCTCGAAAGCTGAATCGGCAAAGCTGCGTTGTAGACGCAGAAGCCCTGCAAACCAGTGCCTCAGTCGTACCAGCAACAAAGATCCCCACGCTTGCCTCGACGTGTGCAGCATTCACTGTGCAGCTGAACCACATGGTTCCACGCTTAAGCCTGTCTGTTTCACGTGTTCCTAGATTGGCTTATGTGAGCCTTGTTTGCAAAGGAAATCTTCACCCCTTTCGCCCCAAGTGGCAGTTGTCGGCCAACTTGCGGATCCTGCCAAGCATCAAGCGTAAGCGCATGCGCGTGGCAAGGAGGATGCCTCAAAAAACACCGACCGGCACAGCAAACATACACAAACAAGGCAAACGACACTTACTCCGGGGATTGCTTTTCTCCTGTCCTGTCGAGAACCAAGTCGACGATCTCTTTCCCAATGGTGTAGTGGCCACGTGCGAAATTATTTGCCTGGGTGAGCATGCTCCGTGTACAACCCAATGCACCTTCCTTCTCACATTTGCAATCGAAGAATAGTTGCCTTGTGCCAGAAACAGCTTAGCTGCAGCATCTTCCTTGCCAGAGATCAGCTGCTCCGGATGGAACAGCTGGCGGTACGTGCCTGTGCGCACCTCATCCACGACCGTAGGCTCGAGATCCTTCGAGCGTCATCATGAAGTGCAACTGCAGGGAAGGGATAGATGCAAACAACCCCTGGGCTCGGGATCCTTCGAACACACAGATATATATATATATATACGCATGCAAAGGGTGAATGCGCTCAACGCATACTTGCCGCCTGCGCGTTTCGCAGCTGATATGTTCTCACAACAAACCACCCACCCCAAAATCCTGAAAGGCTGGGCCCCACCGTGCCCTTGTTGCGACACGCAACGTAGGATGCACGCATCCTGCAAGTCACCGCCTTTTGACACCGGCTTCATGATCAGTATCAGTTCAACTGAGGCCCCGTCGACCATGACGCAACGAGGGACATGCTTGCCCGCACCGGTCTCACTGAAGAAGGTGTTGAAGGCGTCGTCGCCACCTCTCTGAACTTTTAAACTTCGGAGGGGCGTGTGGAGCCCCTGGTCGCCCTAGTTGTGACTGAGTACTGCTGTGGAAGTTGCCAAGTGTGAGTGTTCAACCCCCGGCTGATCAAGACGCAAGGACCCGCAATCTCCCGCAACAGCAACACACGCTAAACCCCCCTAACCCCTGAATCCTTAAGACCTCTGCGCTGCGAACGATTCTCCCCCTCCCCGTTTTGAACTGAACGGCCCTCTCTGCAGCCCTTGATCCCCTGAGAAGCTCTGCAAAAGCGGAGAGGAGGCCTCCGATGGTCTTGTCCGAGGGCATCTGGCCATCGGGCTGGATTCCGTGCTCGAGGCAGAAGAGCTCCCAGCAGGCATTTCCGATCTGCACACCGCCCTGGCACACACCAGAGGGTTGCAGGCTAGGGATTAGAGAGGTTCGGGTGTCTATGGCTGACTCACATAGCACCGCACCAAGCTAGGCAGCCCCGCCTGGCCAATGTGAATGCAAATGGCCTCACGCATGGCTGCGGGAGATGCACGAAGGCGTCGAAAGCTTTGAAGATCTCACAACGCACCGGCGAAAGGTGTCGGAAGGCTCACCTCGTGATGTGGCGGGCCTCACTTACCAATCTTTCGAGCCGAGGGTCGGGCGCTAAAGCATGCAGCCGCTTCGGGTTTGGGGTTGGGGCGTGAAAGCCCACAAACTTCATCTGTAAACCCTGCAATTTTTTTAGGCGGATGAAACGGAGCACGTTTTTATAATGTATATAGGCATTGATACCTTATACTATGGTCGACACAATGCAAGACTCGACTAAGAGTAAGAATACAATACAACACAAGATGATATCCTAAAATACAAAAATAGCACATATGTTTCTCAATTTTTGAATCCCCAAGCGGCCCAAGCAGGTCGGCCCACTTTTCCCCCCTGGCCCAGAGGTTGCAAGGAGCGATCTGCGCGCATGTAGCGCAAACCGCGGCCGCAGACATCCCCCAAGGAGGCCGGCAACGAACACTGCACATCACAAGCACCTAAGGCTTAGGACCCTAAACCCTAACCCTAAATCACTCTGACTATTTTCTGGCCCGTCTTCAGTGTTTTCATGCTCATCAGTTCAAGGGCATTTGACCCACCCGTGGGAGCGCTTCTCTGCAGAGAGCAGCCTCTCAGAACTCGTCGCCGTAGCCTTAGCTGTCGACGTGTGGGGTTCGGGGTTTCGGTTTGCTCTGTTGGTTTTTCTGGGTACGGCCAGCCGCCTGCTGCAAATGTCGTCACAAAAGCAACTTAGTAAGTACACCCATTTAGGTCGAACCCTAAACCCTATTTTAGGGGCACCCCTTATGTACCCCAAAAGGCGATAATTTATCCATTTTCGGACCCAAGCAATAGGTGCCCCTAAGACTTAGGACCTCGGAAGCCCCCAGATCTCCTGCACCAGCTTTTGCCCAGGGACCCTCTTCTTCACCTTCTCCCTCCGCGGTCTCGATGCCCACCTGCGACACGAAGGTTGTTGATCGTGGCTTTGTTTGGGCGCTGCTTGGGGGAGGAGGGGCCAAGATGGGACCGCAACTTAGAGAACGGCGTACCCGGACAAGGGACAGGCGCCTCGGGTCTTAAGGCTGAAAGAGCAGGGGATTTTCGGGTTTGGAGTGTTTAGGGTGCTTGGGGCGCTTCAGGGCGCTCAGCGTGTTTAGGGTTGAGGGTTTAGGGTGGACTGCAGCCTCCTCGTAGTCCTTCTCCAAGGCCGCCAGGTCTTCGCGAGCCTCAGAGAACTCGCCTTCCTCCATACCTGCTCAGCTTGGAGAGTCGTCGAAGCTAGGGTACCTTTCGGGGGGCGATCTCTACACAAGTGAACCCCATGCTGCAAACGAAGGTAGCTATAAGGGCCTAAACCTTAAACCCTAAACTATGCAGACAAAGGTATCTAGAAGGGGCTCCCCCTAAACAATAAACTCTAAACTCTAAACCCCAAACCCCAAACACAGATCGCTGCGCAGCTCAGGTTGAGCAAACCCTAAACCCTAAACCCTAAACCCTAAAACCCCCTACTCCCAGGCCCTCCACCTTCATGCCCGAGGGTTTAGGGCTTCTTGCTTACAAGCTGCATTTGCAAACCCTAAACCCTAAACCCGCAGCGGTCCTTCGCCAACGTAGTGGTGAACGAAGGCGCGCTTCCTGAGCAGCAAGGGGGTTTGGGGACTTCTGGCCTGAGATTCGGAATTGAAGCATTGAGTTTAGGGTGGGGTGTAGGGTGTAGGGCCGGGTTTAGGATTGAGGTTCAAGACTGCACATTGCCTCAGAAGAGATCCAAGGCAAGGCGAGCTGCGAGTACATGAGGTCGAACTTGTGGTCGATGCGCGAGAAGACTTCCTCACATGCTCCCAAAAAACCCGACACCCCAAAACTGAAACCCCCAAACTCCCAAAACCTCACAGAACCAAGACCCTGCTGCGGAAAAAAAAACTAGAGTCTGAAACGCAAGCCCTTCAACCCTAAACCCTAAGGAACCCCAAGTCCCCCCAATCGCTGCAACTTAGGGTCGGCAATGGCCGTCGAGTTGGAGATCATGCCTGGGCTTCCCCTCTGGTTGCATGTAGGGCTTAGGGTTTCGGGCTTAGGGCTTAGGGTTTAGAGCTTAGGGCTTTGAAGCAACTTCATTTGCAGAACCTCTCTATGAGGAGAACAAACCTTCACCCAAAAGTGGCCCCCATTCAACAAAACGTCTAGGGTAGCCCTAGCATGAAACGCGAGGATGCTGCACCCACCTCCATGAAGAGGTTGGGGCTTACAGGGCTCACAGGGCCTATGGTGCTTTCTTGGGCCTACGGTGCTGTCTTGGGGCCTTTCGAACCCTGCAGGGCCACTTCGGGGGGGCGCAGCTCGATGGCAGAACGCACACGGTGCATGTGCTTCACTCAATGCTAAACCCCATAAACATAAACCCTATACACCCATACGCCTCATATGCACCACAAACCCCAAAAACACCAAACAAAAAGCGACAAAACCCAATAAAACCCTGTGACGCCTATAAAACCCGGTCGATTCGCCTCCACAACACGCGAAGGGTCCCCCGCCCCTTTAACTGCAGGTCTCAGGTGCAGCAAGCACGCATGACCTTGGCCAAGTCGCCACCTGGCAGGCTTTCGGCTTGGGGCTAAGGGTTTAGGGTTTAAGGCTTACGGAATTCGGCTTGGGGGGTGTACGTGTAGGATTCATGAGTCTAGGAGACGCTAAACCCCAACCCCTAAAAGCTTTTGAGTGCCTACGCCCGCCTGGCACGACAGTGGGCGGCTGGTAGTTGATGCCACACTTGAAGCCGGTGGGGCACCAGTCCACGAACTGGATGGTGCGCTTCGTCTTGATGGTGGCCACGGCTGCGTTCACATCCTTGGGCACCACGTCGCCACCTGAGGCACGAGGGGGCATCGTTCACAACTGCCCGACAGGTGCCTACACCTTGCGCAACCACAAACTCTGATCTGTCATGACGCATTGAAGTACTCTTTCTTAGCTCCCTGCGGTACATCATGCAGCAGGCCATGTACTTTCCGTGACGAGGATCGCACCTCGATGGCCATTGCAACCACTTATGCACGCTGTCATGCTTGATTTCGGTGTTCACATCAAGCGAAGCGAACCCAATGCATCATTCCTCATGCAGTCTAGGGGACTTCACCATCATAGAAGCGGGCTCGAAGACGGACATGGTGATCTCAGCCACAGACAGCTGCTCATGGTAGGCCTTCTCGGCGGAGATGACCGGGGCGTAGGACGTGAGCATGAAGTGGATACGCGGGTAGGGCACCAGGTTCGTCTGGAACTCCGTGATGTCCACGTTCAAGGCTCCATCGAAGCGCAGGGACGCCGTCAAGCTCGAGATGATCTGAGCGATGAGGCGGTTGAGGTTGGTGTACGTGGGACGCTCGATGTCCAGGTTCCTGCGAAAGACTTGTTAAAAACATGGGTGCCCTTTTTGGCGGGTCCCCTCAGGATTCAACTTTGGGGTGCATTAGGGGTACCACTACTGTGGGAAAATACCGATACCCCTAACGGGGTTTCCGGGGGGGAGCTGATGGGGTTGAAGGGGTTTATGGGGCTTGTGGGGCCTTAGGGGGCTTGTGGGGTTTAGGGCTCAGGGCTTAGGGCTTAGGGTATCTAGGAACCCCCCTTCAGGATACCCGCGTTTGGGAGCTATCCTTCAAGGAGCTGGGGGTTCCCTGATGAGAAGCCGGCGAGAGCTGAGGCTTGAGTGGCAGAGGGTGTTTGGGTTTAGGGTTTAGGGTTTAGGGTTTAGGGTTTAGGGTTTGGGGTTTAGGGTTTAGGGTTTGGGGTTTCGGGTTTCGGGTTTCGGGCTTGGGGTTTCGGGCTTGGGGTTTCGGGTTCTGGGATTTGGGGTAGAAATATTATAATAGCAGAATAGTATACTCGTAAAGTAGTAAAAGAGTATGCTCATCTAGTAGAATACAGTATGATCGCTCGTAGTATCGTAAAACCGTGTGATCGCATTGTCGCACAATAATCTAATAGTATAATCGTATAATAGCATATAATCGTATAGTAGTATAATAATATAATAGCAAATAGTATTACAGTATAATTGTATAATCGTATAATAGTATATTAGTTCAATATTAGTTTAATAGTACATTATTAATACATCTACCGCATAATCTTATAAGAGTGTAAGCGTACAGTCTTATACTAGTATAGCAAGGTCTCATAGTATCACATGTACCTTAGTTTTGTGTGCAGATACTTTTGATTCATACGATAGTCAGAACAACAATCCCAAGCCGCCTGCGGCAGATGTCGTAGAGCGCCTCGTTGTCGTACATGATGGTGACGTCCGTGTGCTCTAGCAGGGAGTGGACACACAAGACCTGCTTCAAGGAGGTTTGGGGATTCCCCCCTCTTAAGGTAAGGTTTGGGAGTCTCGGGTTTAGAGCCATCTGAGGGCACCATGTTCCAGGGCATAGGGCTCAGGTCTTCCCGTAGTCCACGGACAGGCGCCTCGGCGAACAATCAAGAAAACCATGTACATCAATATAAGAGTATAAAAAACACACAATAATCGAAGGCTCCGCTACGCAAGATAAAACAGCATGCCGAAACCATACACAAGAATTGAAGTTGCTAAGTCACAAGTCAAGTGTTCAAAGTCTAGTGCAAAGCATCCTTGGGTTCCTACTCTGAACCCTAAACATGGGATCATACACCCTATACTACGATAATCGCTATCAACCCAGATTCGTTTGGACCACAAGCCCTTTTGGGATTCATGTGAAGCAGGGTTTATATTTCTGTTTTGGTGAGTGTATATAAGGTTCCTTTTTAACATTGGTGAGTGTATATATTGGGTGTCCTTTTGGGGGTACAACAAATATATACCCTACTTCATGTAGTCCCCAAGGATGACATATCCCAACCCCCTGCGAAAAATCTTGCCATCCAGGCGGAAGCGCTCGAGCATGAGGCAGCCCAAGCCGGAGCCGGTTCCGCCTCCGCAAGCCTTGGATTTTAACCCCTCCATAAATCGATGCAGAAACCACGTCCCTAAACCTAAGCCCTAAGCCCTGAACTCTACTTTTCTCGCTTTGGTAGAGTTGGTTGAGGGCAACGCTCTCGAAAGCTGAATCGGCAAAGCTGCGTTGTAGACGCAGAAGCCCTGCAAACCAGTGCCTCAGTCGTACCAGCAACAAAGATCCCCACGCTTGCCTCGACGTGTGCAGCATTCACTGTGCAGCTAAACCACATGGTTCCACGCTTAAACCTGTCTGTTTCACGTGTTCCTAGATTGGCTTATGTGAGCCTTGTTTGCAAAGGAAATCTTCACCCCTTTCGCCCCAAGTGGCAGTTGTCGGCCAACTTGCGGATCCTGCCAAGCATCAAGCGTAAGCGCATGCGCGTGGCAAGGAGGATGCCTCAAAAAACACCGACCGGCACAGCAAACATACACAAACAAGGCAAACGACACTTACTCCAGGGATTGCTTTTCTCCTGTCCTGTCGAGAACCAAGTCGACGATCTCTTTCCCAATGGTGTAGTGGCCACGTGCGAAATTATTTGCCTGGGTGAGCATGCTCCGTGTTCAACCCAATGCACCTTCCTTCTCACATTTGCAATCGAAGAATAGTTGCCTTGTGCCAGAAACAGCTTAGCTGCAGCATCTTCCTTGCCAGAGATCAGCTGCTCCGGATGGAACAGCTGGCGGTACGTGCCTGTGCGCACCTCATCCACGACCGTAGGCTCGAGATCCTTCGAGCGTCATCATGAAGTGCAACTGCAGGGAAGGGATAGATGCAAACAACCCCTGGGCTCGGGATCCTTCGAACACACAGATATATATATATATATACGCATGCAAAGGGTGAATGCGCTCAACGCATACTTGCCGCCTGCGCGTTTCGCAGCTGATATGTTCTCACAACAAACCACCCACCCCAAAATCCTGAAAGGCTGGGCCCCACCGTGCCCTTGTTGCGACACGCAACGTAGGATGCACGCATCCTGCAAGTCACCGCCTTTTGACACCGGCTTCATGATCAGTATCAGTTCAACTGAGGCCCCGTCGACCATGACGCAACGAGGGACATGCTTGCCCGCACCGGTCTCACTGAAGAAGGTGTTGAAGGCGTCGTCGCCACCTCTCTGAACTTTTAAACTTCGGAGGGGCGTGTGGAGCCCCTGGTCGCCCTAGTTGTGACTGAGTACTGCTGTGGAAGTTGCCAAGTGTGAGTGTACATGCATCAACCCCCGGCTGATCAAGACGCAAGGACCCGCAATCTCCCGCAACAGCAACACACGCTAAACCCCCCTAACCCCTGAATCCTTAAGACCTCTGCGCTGCGAACGATTCTCCCCCTCCCCGTTCTGAACTGAACGGCCCTCTCTGCAGCCCTTGATCCCCTGAGAAGCAAAAGCGGAGAGGAGGCCTCCGATGGTCTTGTCCGAGGGCATCTGGCCATCGGGCTGGATTCCGTGCTCGAGGCAGAAGAGCTCCCAGCAGGCATTTCCGATCTGCACACCGCCCTGGCACACACCAGAGGGTTGCAGGCTAGGGATTAGAGAGGTTCGGGTGTCTATGGCTGACTCACATAGCACCGCACCAAGCTAGGCAGCCCCGCCTGGCCAATGTGAATGCAAATGGCCTCACGCATGGCTGCGGGAGATGCACGAAGGCGTCGAAAGCTTTGAAGATCTCACAACGCACCGGCGAAAGGTGTCGGAAGGCTCACCTCGTGATGTGGCGGGCCTCACTTACCAATCTTTCGAGCCGAGGGTCGGGCGCTAAAGCATGCAGCCGCTTCGGGTTTGGGGTTGGGGCGTGAAAGCCCCACAGCCTTCATCTGTACAGACCCTGAAACCCTGCAATATGTTTTAGGTGGATGAAATCGAGCATGTTTATGTAATGTATAGATATTGATATCTGGTAGTATGGTAGACACAATACAAGACTGGACTAAGAATACAAGACAAACAAGAGAACATCCTAAAATACATCAATTTTTTATTTGCACATATGCTTCTGAATTTTTGAATCCCCAAGCGGCCCAAGCAGGTCGGCCCACTTTTCCCCCCTGGCCCAAAGGTTGCAAGGAGCGATCTGCGCGCATGTAGCGCAAACCGCGGCCGCAGACGTCCAGCCTCTCAGAACTCGTCGCCGTAGCCTTAGCTGTCGACATGTGGGTTTTAAGGGGTACGGCCAGCCTCCTGCTGCAAAATGTCGTCACAAAGGCAACCTAGTAAATACACCATTTAATCACCCTAAATCCTATTTTACGAGCACCCCTTATGTACCCTCAAAAGGCGAAAATTTACAGACAATAGGTGCCCCTAAGACTTAGGACCTCGGAAGCCCCCAGATCTCCTGCACCAGCTTTTGCCCAGGGACCCTCCTCTTCACCTTCTCCCTCCGCGGTCTCGATGCCCACCTGCGACACGAAGGCTGTTGATCGTGGCTTTGTTTGGGCGCTGCTTGGGGGAGGAGGGGCCAAGATGGGACCGCAATTTAGTGAACGGCGTACCCGGACAAGGGAGAGGCGCCTCGGGTCTTAAGGCTGAAAGAGCAGGGCGTTTCGGGCTTGGAGTGTTTAGGGTGCTTGGGGCACTGCGTTCAGCGTGTTTAGGGTTGAGGGTTTAGGGTGGACTGCAGCCTCCTCGTAGTCCTTCTCCAAGGCCGCCAGGTCTTCGCGAGCCTCAGAGAACTCGCCTTCCTCCATACCTGCTCAGCTTGGAGAGTCGTCGAAGCTAGGGTACCTTTCGGGGGGCGATCTCTACACAAGTGAACCCCATGCTGCAAACAAAGGTATCTATAAGGGCCTAAACCCTAAACCCTAAACTATGCAGACAAAGGTATCTAGAAGGGCCTAAACCCTCCCTAAACTCTAAACTCTAAACCCCAAACCCCAAGCACAGATCGCTGCGCAGCTCAGGTTGAGCAAACCCTAAACCCTAAACCCTAAACCCTAAAACCCCCTACGCCCTACTCCCTGAACCTTCTAGAACGCCACAAGCCTCGAACCCGGAATACCATCTGGCACCTCCCAGGCCCTCCACCTTCATGCCCGAGGGTTTAGGGCTTCTTGCTTACAAGCTGCATTTGCAAACCCTAAACCCTAAACCCGCAGCGGTCCTTCGCCAACGTAGTGGTGAACGAAGGCGCGCTTCCTGAGCAGCAAGGGGGTTTGGGGACTTCTGGCCTGAGATTCGGAATTGAAGCATTGAGTTTAGGGTGGGGTGTAGGGTGTAGGGCCGGGTTTAGGATTGAGGTTCAAGACTGCACATTGCCTCAGAAGAGATCCAAGGCAAGGCGAGCTGCGAGTACATCAGGTCGAACTTGTGGTCGATGCGCGAGAAGACTTCCTCACATGCTCCCAAAAAACCCGACACCCCAAAACTGAAACCCCCAAACTCCCAAAACCTCACAGGACCAAGACCCTGCTGCGGAAAAAAAAACTAGAGTCTGAAATGCAAGCCCTTCAACCCTAAACCCTAAGGAACCCCAAGTCCCCGATCGCTGCAACTTAGGGTCGGCAATGGCCGTCGAGTTGGAGATCATGCCTGGGCTTCCCCTCTGGTTGCATGTAGGGCTTAGGGTTTCGGGCTTAGGGCTTAGGGTTTAGGGCTTAGAGCTTTAAAGCCACTTCATTTGCAGAAGCTCTCTATGAGGAGAACAAACCTTCACCCAAAAGTGGCCCCCCATTCAACAAAACGTCCAGGGTAGCCCTAGCATGAAACGCGAGGATGCTGCACCCACCTCCATGAAGAGGTTGGGGCTTACAGGGCTCACAGGGCCTATGGTGCTTTCTTGGGCCTACGGTGCTGTCTTGGGGCCTTTCGAACCCTGCAGGGCCACTTCGGGGGGGCGCAGCTCGATGGCAGAACGCACACGTTGCATGTGCTTCACTCAATGCTAAACCCCATAAACATAAACCCTGTACACCCATACGCCTCATATGCACCACAAACCTCAAAAACACCAAACAAAAAGCGATAAAACCCAATAAAACCCTGTGACGCCTATAAAACCCGGTCGATTCGCCTCCACAACACGCGAAGGGTCCCCCGCCCCTTTAACTGCAGGTCTCAGGTGCAGCAAGCACGCATGACCTTGGCCAAGTCGCCACCTGGCAGGCTTTCGGCTTGGGGCTAAGGGTTTAGGGTTTAAGGCTTACGGAATTCGGCTTGGGGGGTGTACGTGTAGGATTCATGAGTCTAGGAGACGCTAAACCCCAGCCCCTAAAAGCTTTTGAGTGCCTACGCCCGCCTGGCACGACAGTGGGCGGCTGGTAGTTGATGCCACACTTGAAGCCGGTGGGGCACCAGTCCACGAACTGGATGGTGCGCTTCGTCTTGATGGTGGCCACGGCTGCGTTCACATCCTTGGGCACCACGTCGCCACCTGAGGCACGAGGGGGCATCGTTCGCAACTGCCCGACAGGTGCCTACACCTTGCGCAACCACAAACTCTGATCTGTCATGACGCATTGAAGTACTCTTTCTTAGCTCCCTGCGGTACATCATGCAGCAGGCCATGTACTTTCCGTGACGAGGATCGCACCTCGATGGCCATTGCAACCACTTATGCACGCTGTCATGCTTGATTTCGGTGTTCACATCAAGCGAAGCGAACCCAATGCATCATTCCTCATGCAGTCTGGGGGACTTCACCATCATAGAAGCGGGCTCGAAGACGGACATGGTGATCTCAGCCACAGACAGCTGCTCATGGTAGGCCTTCTCGGCGGAGATGACCGGGGCGTAGGAAGTGAGCATGAAGTGAATACGCGGGTAGGGCACCAGGTTCGTCTGGAACTCCGTGATGTCCACGTTCAAGGCTCCATCGAAGCGCAGGGACGCCGTCAAGCTCGAGATGATCTGAGCGATGAGGCGGTTGAGGTTGGTGTACGTGGGACGCTCGATGTCCAGGTTCCTGCGAAAGACTTGTTACAAACATGGGTGCCCTCTTTGGCGGGTCCCCTCAGGATTCTTCAACTTTGGGGTGCATTAGGGGTACCCCTACTTGGGGAAAATACTGATACCCCTAACGGGGTTTCTGGGGGGGGCTGATGGGGTTGAAGGGGTTTATGGGGCTTGTGGGGCTTTAGGGGGCTTGTGGGGTTTAGGGCTCAGGGCTTAGGGTTTAGGGTATCTAGGAACCCTAAACCCTTCAGGATACCCGCTTTTGGGAGCTTTCCTTCAAGGAGCTCCTGGGGGTTCCCTGATGAGAAGCCGGCGCTCAGGCTTGAGTGGCAGAGGGTGTTTGGGTTTAGGGTTTACGGTTTAGGGTTTAGGGTTTGGGGTTTGGGGTTTGGGGTTTCGGGTTTCGGGCTTGGGGTTTCGGGCTTGGGGTTTCGGGTTCTGGGATTTGGGGTACAATATTATAATAGCAGAATAGTATACTCGTAAAGTAGTAAAAGAGTATGCTCATCTAGTAGAATACAGTATGATCGCTCGTATTATCGTAAAATCGTGTGATCGCATTGTCGCACAATAATCTAATAGTATAATCGTATAATAGCATAATCGTATAATCGTATAGTAGTATAATAATATAATAGCAAATCGTATTACAGTATAACTGTATAATCGTATAATAGTATATTAGTTCAATATTAGTTTAATAGTACATTATTAATATATCTACCGCATAATCTTATAAGAGTGTAAGCGTACAGTCTTCTAGTATAGCAAGGTCTCATAGTATCACATGTACCTTAGTGTTGTGTGCAGATACTTTTGATTAATACGATAGTCAGAACAACAATCCCAAGCCGCCTGCGGCAGATGTCGTAGAGCGCCTCGTTGTCGTACATGATGGTGACGTCCGTGTGCTCTAGCAGGGAGTGGACACACAAGACCTGCTTCAAGGAGGTTTTGGGGATTCCCCCCTCTTAAGGTAAGGTTTGGGAGTCTCGGGTTTAGAGCCATCTGAGGGCACCATGTTCCAGGGCATAGGGCTCAGGACTTAGGGCTTAGGGTTGAGGATTTAGGGCGAGCTAGGATCGGCCATCCCAAGTTGGGTCCCAGGCGCGGTGTTGTAGGGCTCGACCACTGCCGTTGCCACCTGAGGGCAGCACCAGACCGTGAAGGAGATCTTGCTCTTCTTCCCGTAGTCCACGGACAGGCGCCTCGGCGAACAATCAAGAAAACCATGTACATCAATATAAGAGTATAAAAAACACACAATAATCGAAGGCTCCGCTACGCAAGATAAAACAGCATGCCGAAACCATACACAAGAGTTGAAGTTGCTAAGTCACAAGTCAAGTGTTCAAAGTCTAGTGTAAAGCATCCTTGGGTTCGTACTCTGAACCCTAAAAATGGGATCATACACCCTATACTACGACAATCGCTATCAAGCCAGATTCGTTTGGACCACAAGCCCTTTTGGGATTCATGTGAAGCAGGGTTTATATTTCTGTTTTGGTGAGTGTATATAAGGTTCCTTTTTAAACTTGGTGAGTGTATATATTGGGTGTCCTTTTGGGGGTACAACAAATATATACCCTACTTCATGTAGTCCCCAAGGATGACATATCCCAATCCCCTGCGAAAAATCTTGCCATCCAGGCGGAAGCGCTCGAGCATGAGGCAGCCCAAGCCGGAGCCGGTTCCGCCTCCGCAAGCCTTGGATTTTAACCCCTCCATAAATCGATGCAGAAACCACGTCCCTAAACCTAAGCCCTAAGCCCTGAACTCTACTTTTTCGCTTTGGTAGAGTTGGTTGAGGGCAACGCTCTCGAAAGCTGAATCGGCAAAGCTGCGTTGTAGACGCAGAAGCCCTGCAAACCAGTGCCTCAGTCGTACCAGCAACAAAGATCCCCACGCTTGCCTCGACGTGTGCAGCATTCACTGTGCAGCTGAACCACATGGTTCCACGCTTAAACCTGTCTGTTTCACGTGTTCCTAGATTGGCTTATGTGAGCCTTGTTTGCAAAGGAAATCTTCACCCCTTTCGCCCCAAGTGGCAGTTGTCGGCCAACTTGCGGATCCTGCCAAGCATCAAGCGTAAGCGCATGCGCGTGGCAAGGAGGATGCCTCAAAAAACACCGACCGGCACAGCAAACATACACAAACAAGGCAAACGACACTTACTCCAGGGATTGCTTTTCTCCTGTCCTGTCGAGAACCAAGTCGACGATCTCTTTCCCAATGGTGTAGTGGCCACGTGCGAAATTATTTGCCTGGGTGAGCATGCTCCGTGTTCAACCCAATGCACCTTCCTTCTCACATTTGCAATCGAAGAATAGTTGCCTTGTGCCAGAAACAGCTTAGCTGCAGCATCTTCCTTGCCAGAGATCAGCTGCTCCGGATGGAACAGCTGGCGGTACGTGCCTGTGCGCACCTCATCCACGACCGTAGGCTCGAGATCCTTCGAACGTCATCATGAAGTGCAACTGCAGGGAAGGGATAGATGCAAACAACCCCTGGGCTCGGGATCCTTCGAACACATATATATATATATAATATATACGCATGCAAAGGGTGAATGCGCTCAACGCATACTTGCCGCCTGCGCGTTTCGCAGCTGATATGTTCTCACAACAAACCACCCACCCCAAAATCCTGAAAGGCTGGGCCCCACCGTGCCCTTGTTGCGACACGCAACGTAGGATGCACGCATCCTGCAAGTCACCGCCTTTTGACACCGGCTTCATGATCGGCATCAGTTCAACTGAGGCCCCGTCGACCATGACGCAACGAGGGACATGCTTGCCCGCACCGGTCTCACTGAAGAAGGTGTTGAAGGCGTCGTCGCCACCTCTCTGGGCTTTTCAGCTTTGGGAGGGGCGGGTGGAGCCCCTGGTCGCCCTAGTTGTGACTGAGATGCATCAACCCCCGGCTGATCAAGACGCAAGGACCCGCAATCTCCCGCAACTGCAACACACACTAAACCCCCCTAACCCCTGAATCCTTAAGACCTCTGCGCTGCGAACGATTCTCCCCTCTCCCCGTTCTGAACTGAACGGCCCTCTCTGCAGCCCTTGATCCCCTGAGAAGCTCTGCAAAAGCGGAGAGGAGGCCTCCGATGGTCTTGTCCGAGGGCATCTGGCCATCGGGCTGGATTCCGTGCTCGAGGCAGAAGAGCTCCCAGCAGGCATTTCCGATCTGCACTCCGCCCTGGCACACACCAGAGGGTTGCAGGCTAGGGATTAGAGAGGTTCGGGTGTCTATGGCTGACTCACATAGCACCGCACCAAGCTAGGCAGCCCCGCCTGGCCAATGTGAATGCAAATGGCCTCACGCATGGCTGCGGGAGATGCACGAAGGCGTCGAAAGCTTTGAAGATCTCACAACGCACCGGCGAAAGGTGTCGGAAGGCTCACCTCGTGATGTGGCGGGCCTCACTTACCAATCTTTCGAGCCGAGGGTCGGGCGCTAAAGCATGCAGCCGCTTCGGGTTTGGGGTTGGGGCGTGAAAGCCCCACAGCCTTCATCTGTACAGACCCTGAAACCCTGCAATATGTTTTAGGTGGATGAAATCGAGCATGTTTATGTAATGTATAGATATTGATATCTTGTACTATGGTAGACACAATACAAGACTGGACTAAGAATACAAGACAAACAAGAGAACATCCTAAAATACATCAATTTTTTATTTGCACATATGCTTCTGAGTTTTTGAATCCCCAAGCGGCCCAAGCAGGTCGGCCCACTTTTCCCCCCTGGCCCAAAGGTTGCAAGGAGCGATCTGCGCGCATGTAGCGCAAACCGCGGCCGCAGACGTCCCCCAAGGAGGCCGGCAACGAACAGCAAATCACAAGCACCTATGGCTTCGAACCAAAAGCCTAAACCCGAATTATTCTGATCATATCTGGCCCGTCTTCAATACTCATGTCATCAGTTCATGGGCATTGGACCACTGTGGGAGTCTGCCGAGTGCAGCCTCTCAGAACTCGTCGCCGTAGCCTTAGCTGTCGACATGTGGGTCTTAAGGGGTACGGCCAGCCTCATGCTGCAAAATGTCGTCACAAAGGCAACCTAGTAAATACACCATTTAGTCACCCTAAACCCTATTTTACGAGCACCCCTTATGTACCTCAAATCAAAAGGCGATAATTTACAAACAATAGGTGCCCCTAAGACTTAGGACCTCGGAACCCCCCAGATCTCCTGCACCAGCTTTTGCCCAGGGACCCTCTTCTTCACCTTCTCCCTCCGCGGTCTCGATGCCCACCTGCGACACGAAGGCTGTTGATCGTGGCTTTGTTTGGGCGCTGCTTGGGGGAGGAGGGGCCAAGATGGGACCGCAATTTAGTGAACGGCGTACCCGGACAAGGGAGAGGCGCCTCCGGTCATAAGGCTGAAAGAGCAGGGCGTTTCGGGTTTGGAGTGTTTGGGGTGCTTGGGGCACTGCGTTCAGCGTGTTTAGGGTTGAGGGTTTAGGGCGGACTGCAGCCTCCTCGTAGTCCTTCTCCAAGGCCGCCAGGTCTTCGCGAGCCTCAGAGAACTCGCCTTCCTCCATACCTGCTCAGCTTGGAGAGTCGTCGAAGCTAGGGTACCTTTCGGGGGGCGATCTCTACATAAGTGAACCCCATGCTGCAAACAAAGGTATCTATAAGGGCCTAAACCCTAAACCCTAAACCCTAAGCCCCAAGCCCCAAGCCCTAAACCCTAAACCCTAAACCCTAAACCCCAAACCCCAAACCCCAAACGCAGATCGCTGCGCAGCTCAGGTGGAGCAATCCGGGTCAAGATCCAGGGCTTGCCAAGCCCTAGGGTTGCTTGAAGGCTTACCTGAAGGTACATCATGTGCAAATGAAGCTGGGATCCTGAACCCTAAACCCTAAACCCTAAACCCTCAACCCTAAACCCTAAAACCCCCTACGCCCTACTCCCTGAACCTTCTAGAACGCCACAAGCCTCGAACCCGGAATACCATCTGGCACCTCCCAGGCCCTCCACCTTCATGCCCGAAGGTTTAGGGCTTCGGGCTTACAATCTGCATTTGCAAACCCTAAACCCTAAACCCGCAGCGGTCCTTCACCGACGTAGTGGTGAACGAAGGCGCGCTTCCTGAGCAGAAAGGGGGTTTGGGGACTTGTATTCGGAATTGAAGCATTGAATTCAGGGTCGGGTGTAGGGTGCAGGGCCGGGTTTAGGATTGAGGTTCAAGACTGCACACTGCCTCAGAAGAGATCCAAGGCAAGGCGAGCTGCGAGTACATGAGGTCGAACTTGTGGTCGATGCGCGAGAAGACTTCCTCACATGCTCCCAAAAAACCCGACACCCCAAAACTGAAACCCCCAAACTCCCAAAACCTCACAGGACCAAGACCCTGCTGCGGAAAAAAAAACTAGAGTCTGAAACGCAAGCCCTTCAACCCTAAACCCTAAGGAGCCCCAAGTCCCCAATCGCTGCAACTTAGGGTCGGCAATGGCCGTCGAGTTGGAGATCATGCCTGGGCTTCCCCTATCGTTGCATGTAGGGCTTAGGGTTTCGGGCTTAGGGCTTAGGGTTTAGAGTTTAGAGCTTAGGGCTTTAAAGCAACTTCATTTGCAGAACCTCTCTATGAGGAGAACAAACCTTCACCCAAAAGTGGCCCCCATTCAACAAAACGTCTAGGGTAGCCCTAGCATGAAACGCGAGGATGCTGCACCCACCTCCATGAAGAGGTTGGGGCTTACAGGGCTCACGGGGCCTATGGTGCTTTCTTGGGCCTACGGTGCTGTCTTGGGGCCTTTCGAACCCTGCAGGGCCACTTCGGGGGGGCGCAGCTCGATGGCAGAACGCACACGTTGCATGTGCTTCACTCAATGCTAAACCCCATAAACATAAACCCTATACACCCATACGCCTCATATGCACCACAAACCCCAAAACACCAAACAAAAAGCGATAAAACCCAATAAAACCCTGTGACGCCTATAAAACCCGGTCTTCGCCTCCACAACACGCGAAGGGTCCCCCGCCCCTTTAACTGCAGGTCTCAGGTGCAGCAAGCACGCATGACCTTGGCCAAGTCGCCACCTGGCAGGCTTTCGGCTTGGGGCTAAGGGTTTAGGGTTTAAGGCTTACGGAATTCGGCTTGGGAGGTGTACGTGTAGGATTCATGAGTCTAGGAGACGCTAAACCCCAGCCCCTAAAAGCTTTTGAGTGCCTACGCCCGCCTGGCACGACAGTGGGCGGCTGGTAGTTGATGCCACACTTGAAGCCGGTGGGGCACCAGTCCACGAACTGGATGGTGCGCTTCGTCTTGATGGTGGCCACGGCTGCGTTCACATCCTTGGGCACCACGTCGCCACCTGAGGCACGAGGGGGCATCGTTCACAACTGCCCGACAGGTGCCTACACCTTGCGCAACCACAAACTCTGATCTGTCATGACGCATTGAAGTACTCTTTCTTAGCTCCCTGCGGTACATCATGCAGCAGGCCATGTACTTTCCGTGACGAGGATCGCACCTCGATGGCCATTGCAACCACTTATGCACGCTGTCATGCTTGATTTCGGTGTTCACATCAAGCGAAGCGAACCCAATGCATCATTCCTCATGCAGTCTAGGGGACTTCACCATCATAGAAGCGGGCTCGAAGACGGACATGGTGATCTCAGCCACAGACAGCTGCTCATGGTAGGCCTTCTCGGCGGAGATGACCGGGGCGTAGGAAGTGAGCATGAAGTGAATACGAGGGTAGGGCACCAGGTTCGTCTGGAACTCCGTGATGTCCACATTCAAGGCTCCATCGAAGCGCAGGGACGCCGTCAAGCTCGAGATGATCTGAGCGATGAGGCGGTTGAGGTTGGTGTACGTGGGACGCTCGATGTCCAGGTTCCTGCGAAAGACTACTAAGTCTGAGAAAAAACTCTGATGGCCAGGTTCCTGATGAGAAGCCGGCGAGAGCTCCGGTTTGAAGGTTTAGGGTTTGGGGTTTAGGGTTTGGGGTTTCGCGCTTTGGCTTTTTAGGGCTGGGGGGAAACATCGTATGACAAGGTGCCGAACCATGAAATTTCAAAAGGGTCCCAGGCTATCGTGGGGTTTCCGGTTTCCTGTGCCACGAAAAATCAGAGGCTCGAATACAATGAAGCAACTGCATAATGGTATACTCGAAAATAGTAATACTATGAGAATACAGCAGTGTAAGAACATAACAGTGTAATGGTATCATAGTAAGATTAGTAGAATGGTAGAATATTAGATAGTAGAACAGTACAACAGCATAAAAATATAATCGCAAAATAGTATTAATGGTATTAAAAATATAATAGCACAATTGCATGATAATATGATAGTATAATAATCGTATATGAGCATAATAGTATAATAATATAATGGTATAATAGCATAATCGTTTAGTATAACAGTATAATAGTATAATAATAGAACGGTACAATATTTTCATGGCATAATAATACAGTAGTATAACTGTACAAGAATATAATCGTATAATGTCATATTATGACAATATAATGGTACAAGAATCAAAAAATTGTACATTAATATAATGGTATACTAATATACTATTTTTCAGTGCAATAACAATAAAGTTTTTCTAGTATAATTAATAATACATTCGTAGAATAGTCTAATAAAAGAGTATGAAGAGCAGGACTGTTCGAAACATGGGGCAAACGTGGCAGGACTAAAGGACTATACAACCCAAGAGAGACCAGGAAAACAAACAGGGACCCGAAACCAAAAAGCCGTAGACTCCGCAGGCTGTCAAAGGCAAGCTGCTGAGCGCAGCGAGTACATAGATGCTGGGGGGAGGGGCGGTGAAGCTGCGACGCGCCTCCCTCGCCGCCCACCAATAAGCTCTCACACCCGACGACTGGGGCGATGGGGCATCTCCTCCCAGCTCTTGAGCGCCACCCCACGACTAGTTGACTCACGCGCGCCGGCTGATCCCAAACAAGGAGGTCCGCAAACGTTGGCCCTCTTCGGCGCTGGCAATTATGATCTCGCAGGGGCTCTGGTCCGTCGCCCGAGACTGGGCACCACTTCCACCAGCTGTGTGAGAGCGGCTTTCGCTTCAGCTCACGCTGCGAAAACGGCTGGTTGTTTTATGAGGCATTCCACAGAAGGGCACGAGCTGCCCCCAGCTGCCCCCATCTGGCTAGGGCTGGCCAGCCTCGTTCTTATCCTTCGAGGCCTTAGCCGCCTTCTCCACAGCATCATTGATGGCCTTGGTGACAAACAGGAAAATCGTCAGCGCTGCGCTTCACTCCCCAACACCAGCATCGTGGGCACAAAGTAGGCGCTGGACGGTGCACAAAATAGGCGCTGGACGGTGTTGTCACAGTTCTACCGTCCCTCCTCGGGCGCTATTTGGCTGCTGGCGCGGCAGGAGGGTGTAGGGAAATCGACACAGGTGGGAACTACTGGGGTACTACTAGGTACTTGAGCATCGAAAACATCACACGCAGGGGCACCCAAGCGTGTTCTGGCGGTGAGGCAAGTCCACATAGCCTGGGCAAGGCCCTTCTGAGGCCGATGCTCCCAAGCTTGCCTAGCCGAGGCCGTGCCGGCGGCAGGCAGAATTAGCTCCACCCACCCACCACAAAGGCTCTAACGATCTGCAGCGACGCGGCAAGGATTACAGTAACCGACCTACGTCAATGACAGGGGGATCATCAGTACGCATACGAGCAAAATGGCCTAGCCATCTCATCTGACACTGTTACAGGGCAGCCGGAATCTCAAGCTCAGCACGCAGATCATTCTGCTGGATACCTCTTTTATGCACGCGAGGCAGTGTTCATGACTGCCTGCGTGCGAACATAATCGCGTTTCCGAGTTGCGAGAACTGGAAGCACGGTTAATATGTGAAACATGTACGCGGATCTAAGACACTTCCACACGGTCGGCCTGTGCTGCTAGAGACAGGTAGGGGCGCGGCAAGAATACCTGCCCCCATTGGAGAACATTGTGAGTGGGATTCACGTGGCACGGATGTTGAGGCATCATACCGCTGGCAGGGTAACATGCATTTACTGCGCCTTTTGCTGACCGCCTGAGCCACTGCAGTAGCTACAACTTGGCAGCGGTCTGTGAACCACTTCAGCACAGCATGACATAGGTACCGCGGAAAAACCAGAGGCTCCAAATAGCACAATAGCATAAACACATGACAGGATAACTCTCCGTAACCCGCTTCGAAAGCCCGCTCCGGAACCTGCTCCGGAACCTGCGCCGGAGCCTGCTCTGCTCCGGAAGCATCCTCCAGAACCCCTGCTCCGAAGAAAAAGGGCTGAAGGCCCCAAAGCTCAAGGCTCAAGCTGTTGGGGAATAACAGTATAGCAGAAGAACAGTATAACAGTATAACAGTATAACAGTATAACAGTATGACAGTATAACAGTATAACAGTATAACAGTATAGTAGTTGAACTGTACAACACCACAATAGTACAATATACAAAAGTATAATAGTACAATCGTATCATAGCATAATAACAAACTAGTATAATAGCATGATGGTATAATTATAGTATAATAGTGTAATAGGAAAATACTATAAAAGTATACTAGAAAATCGTATAAGAAAAGAATAGTAGAATAGGATACTAGCATAATCGTATCAAAGTGTAGTAGTATAATAAAATAGTAGTATATTAGTATAATGGTATAACAATACAATAGTATAATAGTATAATAGCATAAGACTATAATACTATAATAGAATAATAGTATAATAGTATACTAATATACTAGTATATTAATATAATAGTAAAATAATACAATAGTATAATGGTATAAACGTAGAATAACAATAATTTAATCGTAGATAAGTAGAACATAGCGTAGTAGTATAATAGTAGAACCGTACAATAGCATAGTAGTATAACACTACAATAGCGTAATCGTATAGTAGTATACTCGTATACTAGTATACTAGTTAAATAGTATCATCGTATACTACGCATATATCATAGAGTATATTACAATAGTCAGAACAAGTATCCCCCAAGCCGCCTGCGGCAGATGTCGTAAAGCGCCTCGTTGTCGTACATGATGGTGACGTCCGTGTGCTCCAACAGGGAGTGAACACACAAGACCTGCTGCTCAAGAGGGGCAGCATGCTCCAGGGCGTAGCGCTTAGGGTCTTAGGGTTTAGGGTTGAGGGTTTAGGGTTTAGGGTTTAGGGTTTAGGGTTTAGAGTTTAGGGTTTAGGGTTTTTTAGGGTTTAGGGTTAAGGGTTTAGGGGTAGAGGTTTTGGGGTTAGGGTTTAGGGTTTAGGGTTTTAGGGTTAGTGTTTAGGGTTGAGGGTTTAGGGTTGAGGGTTGAGGGTTTAGGGTTTAGGGTTTAGGGTTTAGGGGTTAGGGTTTAGGGTTTAGGGCCTTGGGGCTTGGGGCTTAGGGCTTAGGGTTTAGGGTTTCGGGTTTAGGGCTTAGGGTTTAGGGTTTAGGGTTTAGGGTTTAGGGTTTAGGGTTTAGGGTTCAGGGCGAGGGAGCTGAGGGCACCATGTTTTAGGGCTTAGCGCTTCGGAAAGGCGATCCCAAGTTGGGTCCCAGGCGCGGTGTTGTAGGGCTCGACCACTGCTGTTGCCACCTGAGGGCAGCACCAGACCGTGAAGGAGATCTTGCTCTTCTTCCCGTAGTCCACAGACAGGCGCCTCGGCGAACAGCCAAGGCTCTAAACATTACAATTTCAATAGGGTCATTGTGTACTCGTACAATAATCAAAAAAAACACATAGTAAGCGAAAGCTCTGCTACACAAGACAACAAAGGGGGTCCAGCAGTCCTCCAACCATACAGAAGTCGTAAGTCACGCGTCAAGTGTTCAAAATTCAGGCCGGGCCCATGAAAGCCCAAATTTAAAGAGGGAGCCCCTGGAAAAATCCTGCCATCCGGACGGAAGCGCTCGAGCATGAGGCAGCCCAAGCCAGAGCCGGTTCCGCCTCCGCAAGCCTTGGTTCGTAAACCCTCCGTAAATCCATGCAAAACATCACGTCCCTAAACCGAAGCCCTGAACTCTGATCTCTTAACCTTGCTAGAGTTGGAAACTGAATCGGCACAGCTGCGTTGTAGACGCAGAAGCCCTGCAAACCAGTGCCTCACTCTGTCGTAACAGCAACAAAGATCTATACAATGACAATACAGCAAGCCGGAAAACCGCTCGAACATCAATCCATGCGTGCTTCGACGTGCACAGCATTCACTGTGCAGCTTGCCTGACACCCAAAATAGATTCCGCGTTTAAACCGGTCTGAGTGGAGCTTCACCTGTTCCTATAGCTTGAATTTGTGAGCCTTGTTCACAACGAAAACTCAAACGTCACCTCTTCCGTAGCAAGTGGCAGTTGTCGGCCAACTTGCGGATCCTGCCAAGGATCAAACAAGGAGGATGCCTGAAAAAACACCGACCGGCAGGGCACAAATACACGAAAAGATGCAAACGACACTTTGGGAAATGCACTTCCTGTCCTGTCGAGAACCAAATCGACGATCTCTTTCCCAATGGTGTAGTGGCCACGTGCGAAATTATTTGCCTTGGTGAGCATGCTCCGTGTTCCATCCAATGTACCTGTTGTTCCTTCTTACATGTGTAATCGAAAAAGAGTTACCTTGTGCCAGAAACAGCTTAGCTGCAGCATCTTCCTTGCCAGAGATCAGCTGCTCCGGATGGAACAGCTGGCGGTACGTGCCTGTGCGCACCTCATCCACGACCGTAGGCTCGAGATCCTTCGAAGGTCATCATGAACTGCAACTGTTGGGAAGGAATAGATGCAAACAACCCCTGGGCTCGGGATCCTTGAACACGTATATGCGCATGCCGGGTGAAAGCACTCCACGCATACGTCTCTTGAAAGGGTGTCTTGCCACATGCGCGTTTCACAGCTGACATGTCCTCACAACAAACCAGCAATTAACGTAAGAATCCTGAAAGGCTCGGCCCAACCGTGCTCTTGTTGCGACAAGCAACGTGAGACATATGAACTTTGCAAGTCACAGCCTCTCGACACAAGCTTCATGATCGGTTTCATTCCAACTGAGGCCCCGTCGACCATGACGCAACGAGGGACATGCTTGCCTGCACCAGTCTCACTGAAGAAGGTGTTGAAGGCGTCGTCGCCACCTCTGGGATTTATTGGGGATTGGAGCTCCCGGTCTGCCAGTCTCCCTCCGCATGAGGCAGGGGGTTTGGTTGCTGGTAAACCAAAAGAAGACATCCCGCATGCACACTCACCAACATGTAAGGCACTCGGCTGCTTGCATTGTCCTGAAATCCTAAAAACCTGCGCACCCCGTTGGACCCAGATCTGAAGGTGTCTTTCGTGCTGTACATGCGGACACTGGCTCACACTGCAACGAATGCGTTTTGCATCGTCTTGCCCGTCTAGCCTGCCTAACACCTAAACCCTTGAGGCAAAGGGGGATCGCCGCCCGATGGCAGTAAAGTTTAAACGTGCCTCAAACCAGCTACAACTATAGTTACCCCAACCCCCAAGTAGCCCTAGTTGTTTCTGAGTACTGCTGCAAAGTGTGAGTGTACATGCATCAGCCCTGGCTGATCAAGACGCAAGGACCTGCAATCTTGGCTGCACTTAGGAGAGTAGCTACAAAAATTAAACTTTTAGCTGCCTTATTAAGAAACCCAATGAACCCCAAAAGGGGTAAGGATCTAAAGTTACGGTAAAGTACCACAAAGCACTCTTCCGTAACACACACTAAAGCCCTAAACCCCAAACCCTTTGGACATCTGCGCTGCGAACGATTCTCCCCTCTCCCCGTTCTGAAGCGCTGAACTTGCGCACTCGTGTGCCCTCTCGCCCTCTCTGCAGCCCTTGAAGCCCCGAGAAGCTTTGCAAAAGCGGAGGCCTCCGATGGTCTTGTCCGAGGGCATCTGGCCATCGGGCTGGATTCCGTGCTCGAGGCAGAAGAGCTCCCAGCAGGCATTTCCGATCTGCACGCCGCCCTGGCACCACCAGAGGGTTGCAGGGTAGGGATTAGAGGGGTTCGGGGGTCTATGGCTGACTCACATAGCACGGACCTCATCAACAAGCAATGCGTGCTTCCACGGCCACACTGGCCACGTATTCGCAGCATCCATGCACCAAGCTACGCAGCCCCGCCTGGCCAATGTGAATGCAAATGGCCTCACGCATGGCTGCGGGAGATGCACGAAGGCGTCGAAAGCTTTGAAGATCTCACAAAGCACCGGCGAAAGGTGTCGGAAGGCTCACCTCGTGATGTGGCGGGCCTCACTTACCAATCTTTCGAGCCGAGGGTCGGGAGCCAAAGCATGCAGCCGCTGCGGGTTTGGGGGCGCGTTTGGGGGGTGAGAGTGAGAGCCCCGAAGCCTTCTCATCTCTGCAGACCCTAAGGCCCTAAGCCCCTACATAGAATGGAGAGGTCACATATATATATATATATATGCATCTTTTTGTTGAGTTGTACATATGCTTTTCAGTTTTTGAATGCCCAAGCAGGTCGGTCCGCTTTTCCCCCCTGGCCCAAAGGTTGCAAGGAGCGATCTGCGCGCATGTAGCGCAAACCGCGGCCGCAGACATCCCCCAAGGAGGCCGTCAACGAACAGCAAATCACAAGCACCTATGGCTTCGAACCCAGAACCCTAAACCCTAAATCACTCTGACTATTTTCTGGCTCGCCTTCAGTGTTTTCATGTCATCAGTTCAAGGGCATTTGACCCACCGTGGGAGCGCTTCTCTGCAGAGAGCAGCTGCTCAGAACTCGTCGCCGTAGCCTTAGCTGTCGACATGTGGGGTTTAGGGTTTCGGTTTGCTCTGTTGGTTTTTCTGGGTACGGCCAGCCGCCTGCTGCAAATGTCGTCACAAAGGCAACTTAGTAACTACACCCATTTAGGTCGAACCCTAAACCCTATTTTACGGGCACCCCTTATGTACCTCAAAAGGCGATAATTTACAAACAATAGGTGCCCCTAAGACTTAGGACCTCGGAAGCCCCCAGATCTCCTGCACCAGCGTTTGCCCAGGGACCCTCTTCTTCACCTTCTCCCTCCGCGGTCTCGATGCCCACCTGCGACACGAAGGCTGTTGATCGTGGCTTTGTTTGGGCGCTGCTTGGGGGAGGAGGGGCCAAGATGGGACCGCAATTTAGAGAACGGCGCACCCAGACAAGGGACAGGCGCCTCCGGTCATAAGGCTGAAAGAGCAGGGCGTTTCGGGTTTGGAGTGTTTAGGGTGCTTGGGGCGCTTAGGGCGTTCAGCGTGTTTAGGGTTGAGGGTTTAGGGTGGACTGCAGCCTCCTCGTAGTCCTTCTCCAAGGCCGCCAGGTCTTCGCGAGCCTCAGAGAACTCGCCTTCCTCCATACCTGCTCAGCTTGGAGAGTCGTCGAAGCTAGGGTACCTTTCGGGGGGCGATCTCTACACAAGTGAACCCCATGCTGCAAACAAAGGTATCTATAAGGGGCTCCCCCTAAACCCTAAGCCCTAAGCCCTAAACCCTAAAACCCCCTACGCCCTACTCCCTGAACCTTCTAGAACGCCACAAGCCTCGAACCCGGAATACCATCTGGCACCTCCCAGGCCCTCCACCTTCATGCCCGAAGGTTTAGGGCTTCGGGCTTACAAGCTGCATTTGCAAACCCTAAACCCTAAACCCGCAGCGGTCCTTCGCCAACGTAGTGGTGAACGAAGGCGCGCTTCCTGAGCAGCAAGGGGGTTTGGGGACTTCTGGCCTGAGATTCGGAATTGAAGCATTGAGTTTAGGGTGGGGTGTAGGGTGTAGGGCCGGGTTTAGGATTGAGGTTCAAGACTGCACATTGCCTCAGAAGAGATCCAAGGCAAGGCGAGCTGCGAGTACATGAGGTCGAACTTGTGGTCGATGCGCGAGAAGACTTCCTCACATGCTCCCAAAAAACCCGACACCCCAAAACTGAAACCCCCAAACTCCCAAAACCTCACAGAACCAAGACCCTGCTGCGGAAAAAACTAGAGTCTGAAACGCAAGCCCTTCAACCCTAAACCCTAAGGAACCCCGAGTCCCCAATCGCTGCAACTTAGGGTCGGCAATGGCCGTCGAGTTGGAGATCATGCCTGGGCTTCCCCTATCGTTGCATGTAGGGCTTAGGGTTTCGGGCTTAGGGCTTAGGGTTTAGAGATGTTTAGAGCTTAGGGCTTTAAAGCAACTTCATTTGCAGAACCTCTCTATGAGGAGAACAAACCTTCACCCAAAAGTGGCCCCCATTCAACAAAACGTCCAGGGTAGCCCTAGCATGAAACGCGAGGATGCTGCACCCACCTCCATGAAGAGGTTGGGGCTTACAGGGCTCACAGGGCCTATGGTGCTTTCTTGGGCCTACGGTGCTGTCTTGGGGCCTTTCGAACCCTGCAGGGCCACTTCGGGGGGGCGCAGCTCGATGGCAGAACGCACACGTTGCATGTGCTTCACTCAATGCTAAACCCCATAAACATAAACCCTATACACCCATACGCCTCATATGCACCACAAACCCCAAAAACACCAAACAAAAAGCGATAAAACCCAATAAAACCCTGTGACGCCTATAAAACCCGGTCGATTCGCCTCCACAACACGCCAAGGGTCCCCCGCCCCTTTAACTGCAGGTCTCAGGTGCAGCAAGCACGCATGACCTTGGCCAAGTCGCCACCTGGCAGGCTTTCGGCTTGGGGCTAAGGGTTTAGGGTTTAGGGTTTCAGGCTTACGGAATTCGGCTTGGGGGGTGTACGTGTAGGATTCATGAGTCTAGGAGACGCTAAACCCCAGCCCCTAAAAGCTTTTGAGTGCCTACGCCCGCCTGGCACGACAGTGGGCGGCTGGTAGTTGATGCCACACTTGAAGCCGGTGGGGCACCAGTCCACGAACTGGATGGTGCGCTTCGTCTTGATGGTGGCCACGGCTGCATTCACATCCTTGGGCACCACGTCGCCACCTGAGGCACGAGGGGGGCATCGTTCGCAACTGCCCGACAGGTGCCTACACCTTGCGCAACCACAACCTCTGATCTGTCATGACGCATTGAAGTACTCTTTCTTAGCTCCCTGCGGTACATCATGCAGCAGGCCATGTACTTTCCGTGACGAGGATCGCACCTCGATGGCCATTGCAACCACTTATGCACGCTGTCATGCTTGATTTCGGTGTTCACATCAAGCGAAGCGAACCCAATGCATCATTCCTCATGCAGTCTGGGGGACTTCACCATCATAGAAGCGGGCTCGAAGACGGACATGGTGATCTCAGCCACAGACAGCTGCTCATGGTAGGCCTTCTCGGCGGAGATGACCGGGGCGTAGGAAGTGAGCATGAAGTGAATACGCGGGTAGGGCACCAGGTTCGTCTGGAACTCCGTGATGTCCACGTTCAAGGCTCCATCGAAGCGCAGGGACGCTGTCAAGCTCGAGATGATCTGAGCGATGAGGCGGTTGAGGTTGGTGTACGTGGGACGCTCGATGTCCAGGTTCCTGCGAAAGACTTGTTAAAAACATGGGCGCCCTTTTTGGCGGGTCCCCTCAGGATTCTTCAACTTTGGGGTGCATTACGGGTACCCCTACTTTGGGAAAATACCGATACCCCTAACGGGGTTTCTGGGGGGGGCTGATGGGGTTGAAGGGGTTTATGGGGCTTGTGGGGCTTTAGGGGGTTTGTGGGGTTTAGGGCTCAGGGCTTAGGGTTTAGGGTATCTAGGAACCCTAAACCCTTCAGGATACCCGCGTTTGGGAGCTTTCCTTCAAGGAGCTCCTGGGGGTTCCCTGATGAGAAGCCGGCGAGAGCTCAGGCTTGCGTGGCAGAGGGTGTTTGGGTTTAGGGTTTACGGTTTAGGGTTTAGGGTTTGGGGTTTGGGGTTTGGGGTTTCGGGTTTCGGGTTTCGGGTTTCGGGCTTGGGGTTTCGGGTTCTGGGATTTGGGGTAGAATATTATAATAGCAGAATAGTATACTCGTAAAGTAGTAAAAGAGTATGCTCATCTAGTAGAATACAGTATGACCGCTCTTATTATCGCAAAATCGTGTGATCGCATTGTCGCACAATAATCTAATAGTATACTCGTATAATAGCATAATCGTATAATCGTATAGTAGTATAATAATATAATAGCAAATAGTATTACAGTATAATTGTACAACCGTATAATAGTATATTAGTTCAATATTCGTTTAATAGTACATTATTAATATATCTACTGCATAATCTTATAAGAGTGTAAGCGTACAGTCTTATACTAGTATAGCAAGGTCTCATAGTATCACATGTACCTTAGTTTTGTGTGCAGATACTTTTGATTAATACGATAGTCAGAACAACAATCCCAAGCCGCCTGCGGCAGATGTCGTAGAGCGCCTCGTTGTCGTACATGATGGTGACGTCCGTGTGCTCTAGCAGGGAGTGGACACACAAGACCTGCTTCAAGGAGGTTTGGGGATTCCCCCCTCTTAAGGTAAGGTTTGGGGGTCTCGGGTTTAGAGCCATCTGAGGGCACCATGTTCCAGGGCATAGGGCTCAGGACTTAGGGCTTAGGGTTGAGGATTTAGGGCGAGCTAGGATCGGCCATCCCAAGTTGGGTCCCAGGCGCGGTGTTGTAGGGCTCGACCACTGCCGTTGCCACCTGAGGGCAGCACCAGACCGTGAAGGAGATCTTGCTCTTCTTCCCGTAGTCCACGGACAGGCGCCTCGGCGAACAATCAAGAAAACCATGTACATCAATATAAGAGTATACAAAACACCTAATAATCGAAGGCTCCGCTACGCAAGATAAAACAGCATGCCGAAACCATACACAAGAATTGAAGTTGCTAAGTCACAAGTCAAGTGTTCAAAGTCTAGTGCAAAGCATCCTTGGGTTCGTACTCTGAACCCTTAAAATGGGATCATACACCCTATACTACGATAATCGCTATCAAGCCAGATTCGTTTGGACCACAAGCCCTTTTGGGATTCATGTGAAGCAGGGTTTATATTTCTGTTTTGGTGAGTGTATACAAGGTTCCTTTTTAAACTTGGTGAGTGTATATATTGGGCGTCCTTTTGGGGGTACAACAAATATATACCCTACTTCATGTAGTCCCCAAGGATGACATATCCCAATCCCCTGCGAAAAATCTTGCCATCCAGGCGGAAGCGCTCGAGCATGAGGCAGCCCAAGCCGGAGCCGGTTCCGCCTCCGCAAGCCTTGGATTTTAACCCCTCCATAAATCGATGCAGAAACCACGTCCCTAAACCTAAGCCCTAAGCCCTGAACTCTACTTTTTCGCTTTGGTAGAGTTGGTTGAGGGCAACGCTCTCGAAAGCTGAATCGGCAAAGCTGCGTTGTAGACGCAGAAGCCCTGCAAACCAGTGCCTCAGTCGTACCAGCAACAAAGATCCCCACGCTTGCCTCGACGTGTGCAGCATTCACTGTGCAGCTGAACCACATGGTTCCACGCTTAAGCCTGTCTGTTTCACGTGTTCCTAGATTGGCTTATGTGAGCCTTGTTTGCAAAGGAAATCTTCACCCCTTTCGCCCCAAGTGGCAGTTGTCGGCCAACTTGCGGATCCTGCCAAGCATCAAGCGTAAGCGCATGCGCGTGGCAAGGAGGATGCCTCAAAAAACACCGACCGGCACAGCAAACATACACAAACAAGGCAAACGACACTTACTCCGGGGATTGCTTTTCTCCTGTCCTGTCGAGAACCAAGTCGACGATCTCTTTCCCAATGGTGTAGTGGCCACGTGCGAAATTATTTGCCTGGGTGAGCATGCTCCGTGTACAACCCAATGCACCTTCCTTCTCACATTTGCAATCGAAGAATAGTTGCCTTGTGCCAGAAACAGCTTAGCTGCAGCATCTTCCTTGCCAGAGATCAGCTGCTCCGGATGGAACAGCTGGCGGTACGTGCCTGTGCGCACCTCATCCACGACCGTAGGCTCGAGATCCTTCGAGCGTCATCATGAAGTGCAACTGCAGGGAAGGGATAGATGCAAACAACCCCTGGGCTCGGGATCCTTCGAACACACAGATATATATATATATATACGCATGCAAAGGGTGAATGCGCTCAACGCATACTTGCCGCCTGCGCGTTTCGCAGCTGATATGTTCTCACAACAAACCACCCACCCCAAAATCCTGAAAGGCTGGGCCCCACCGTGCCCTTGTTGCGACACGCAACGTAGGATGCACGCATCCTGCAAGTCACCGCCTTTTGACACCGGCTTCATGATCAGTATCAGTTCAACTGAGGCCCCGTCGACCATGACGCAACGAGGGACATGCTTGCCCGCACCGGTCTCACTGAAGAAGGTGTTGAAGGCGTCGTCGCCACCTCTCTGGGCTTTTAAACTTCGGAGGGGCGTGTGGAGCCCCTGGTCGCCCTAGTTGTGACTGAGTACTGCTGTGGAAGTTGCCAAGTGTGAGTGTACATGCATCAACCCCCGGCTGATCAAGACGCAAGGACCTGCAATCTCCCGCAACAGCAACACACACTAAACCCCCCCTAACCCCTGAATCCTTAAGACCTCTGCGCTGCGAACGATTCTCCCCCTCCCCGTTCTGAACTGAACGGCCCTCTCTGCAGCCCTTGATCCCCTGAGAAGCTCTGCAAAAGCGGAGAGGAGGCCTCCGATGGTCTTGTCCGAGGGCATCTGGCCATCGGGCTGGATTCCGTGCTCGAGGCAGAAGAGCTCCCAGCAGGCATTTCCGATCTGCACACCGCCCTGGCACACACCAGAGGGTTGCAGGCTAGGGATTAGAGAGGTTCGGGTGTCTATGGCTGACTCACATAGCACCGCACCAAGCTAGGCAGCCCCGCCTGGCCAATGTGAATGCAAATGGCCTCACGCATGGCTGCGGGAGATGCACGAAGGCGTCGAAAGCTTTGAAGATCTCACAACGCACCGGCGAAAGGTGTCGGAAGGCTCACCTCGTGATGTGGCGGGCCTCACTTACCAATCTTTCGAGCCGAGGGTCGGGCGGTAAAGCATGCAGCCGCTTCGGGTTTGGGGTTGGGGCGTGAAAGCCCCACAGCCTTCATCTGTACAGACCCTGAAACCCTGCAATATGTTTTAGGTGGATGAAATCGAGCATGTTTATGTAATGTATAGATATTGATATCTTGTACTATGGTAGACACAATACAAGACTGGACTAAGAATACAAGACAAACAAGAGAACATCCTAAAATACATCTATTTGTTTATTTGCACATATGCTTCTTAGTTTTTGAATCCCCAAGCGGCCCAAGCAGGTCGGCCCACTTTTCCCCCTTGGCCCAAAGGTTGCAAGGAGCGATCTGCGCGCATGTAGCGCAAACCGCGGCCGCAGACGTCCCCCAAGGAGGCCGGCAACGAATAGCAAATCACAAGCACCTATGGCTTCGAACCAAAACCCTAAACCCGAATTATTCTGATCATATCTGGCCCGTCTTCAATGCTCATGTCATCAGTTCATGGGCATTTGACCACTGTGGGAGTCTGCCGAGTGCAGCCTCTCAGAACTCGTCGCCATAGCCTTAGCTGTCGACATGTGGGTTTTAAGGGGTACGGCCAGCCTCATGCTGCAAAATGTCGTCACAAAGGCAACCTAGTAAATACACCATTTAGTCACCCTAAACCCTATTTTACGAGCACCCCTTATGTACCTCAAAAGGCGATAATTTACAGACAATAGGTGCCCCTAAGACTTAGGACCTCGGAACCCCCCAGATCTCCTGCACCAGCTTTTGCCCAGGGACCCTCTTCTTCACCTTCTCCCTCCGCGGTCTCGATGCCCACCTGCGACACGAAGGTTGTTGATCGTGGCTTTGTTTGGGCGCTGCTTGGGGGAGGAGGGGCCAAGATGGGACCGCAATTTAGAGAACGGCGCACCCGGACAAGGGACAGGGCGCCTCGGGTCTTAAGGCTGAAAGAGCAGGGCGTTTCGGGTTTGGAGTGTTTAGGGTGCCTGGGGCGCTTAGGGCGTTCAGCGTGTTTAGGGTTGAGGGTTCAGGGTGGACTGCAGCCTCCTCGTAGTCCTTCTCCAAGGCCGCCAGGTCTTCGCGAGCCTCAGAGAACTCGCCTTCCTCCATACCTGCTCAGCTTGGAGAGTCGTCGAAGCTAGGGTACCTTTCGGGGCGATCTCTACACAAGTGAACCCCATGCTGCAAACAAAGGTATCTATAAGGGGCTAAACCCTAAACCCTAAACTATGCAGACAAAGGTATCTAGAAGGGGCTCCCCCTAAACCCTAAACTCTAAACTCTAAACCCCAAACCCCAAACACAGATCGCTGCGCAGCTCAGGTTGAGCAAACCCTAAACCCTACTCCCTCAACCTTCTAGAACGCCACAAGCCTCGAACCCGGAATACCATCTGGCACCTCCCAGGCCCTCCACCTTCCTGCCCGAGGGTTTAGGGCTTTGGGCTTACAAGCTGCATTTGCAAACCCTAAACCCTAAACCCGAAGCGGTCCTTCGCCAACGTAGTGGTGAACGAAGGCGCGCTTCCTGAGCAGCAAGGGGGTTTGGGGACTTCTGGCCTGAGATTCGGAATTGAAGCATTGAGTTTAGGGTGGGGTGTAGGGTGTAGGGCCGGGTTTAGGATTGAGGTTCAAGACTGCACACTGCCTCAGAAGCGATCCAAGGCAAGGCGAGCTGCGAGTACATGAGGTCGAACTTGTGGTCGATGCGCGAGAAGACTTCCTCACATGCTCCCAAAAAACCCGACACCCCAAAACTGAAACCCCCAAACTCCCAAAACCTCACAGAACCAAGACCCTGCTGCGGAAAAAAACTAGAGTCTGAAACGCAAGCCCTTCAACCCTAAACCCTAAGGAACCCCAAGTCCCCGATCGCTGCAACTTAGGGTCGGCAATGGCCGTCGAGTTGGAGATCATGCCTGGGCTTCCCCTATCGTTGCATGTAGGGCTTAGGGTTTCGGGCTCAGGGCTTAGGGTTTAGGGCTTAGGGCTTTTAAAGCAACTTCATTTGCAGAACCCTTCTTATGAGGAAAGCAAGCCTTCACCCAAAAGTGGCCCCCATTCAACAAAACGTCCAGGGTAGCCCTAGCATGAAACGCGAGGATGCTGCACCCACCTCCATGAAGAGGTTGGGGCTTACAGGGCTCACAGGGCCTATGGTGCTTTCTTGGGCCTACGGTGCTGTCTTGGGGCCTTTCGAACCCTGCAGGGCCACTTCGGGGGGGCGCAGCTCGATGGTAGAACGCACACGTTGCATGTGCTTCACTCAATGCTAAACCCCATAAACATAAACCCTATACACCCATACGCCTCATATGCACAACAAACCCCAAAAACACCAAACAAAAAGCGATAAAACCCAATAAAACCCTGTGACGCCTATAAAACCCGGTCGATTCGCCTCCACAACACGCCAAGGGTCCCCCGCCCCTTTAACTGCAGGTCTCAGGTGCAGCAAGCACGCATGACCTTGGCCAAGTCGCCACCTGGCAGGCTTTCGGCTTGGGGCTAAGGGTTTAGGGTTTAAGGCTTACGGAATTCGGCTTGGGGGGTGTACGCGTAGGATTCATGAGTCTAGGAGACGCTAAACCCCAGCCCCTAAAAGCTTTTGAGTGCCTACGCCCGCCTGGCACGACAGTGGGCGGCTGGTAGTTGATGCCACACTTGAAGCCGGTGGGGCACCAGTCCACGAACTGGATGGTGCGCTTCGTCTTGATGGTGGCCACGGCTGCGTTCACGTCCTTGGGCACCACGTCGCCGCCTGAGGCACGAGGGGGCGTCGTTCGCAACTGCCCGACAGGTGCCTACACCTTGCGCAACCACAAACTCTGATCTGTCATGACGCATTGAAGGACTCTTTCTTAGCTCCCTGCGGTACATCATGCAGCAGGCCATGTACTTTCCGTGACGAGGATCGCACCTCGATGGCCATTGCAACCGCTTATGCACGCTGTCATGCTTGATTTCGGCGTTCATCTCAAGCGAAGCGAACGCAATGCATTATTCTTCATGCAGTCTGGGCGGCTTCACCATCATAGAAGCGGGCTCGAAGACGGACATGGTGATCTCAGCCACAGACAGCTGCTCATGGTAGGCCTTCTCGGCGGAGATGACCGGGGCGTAGGAAGTGAGCATGAAGTGAATACGCGGGTAGGGCACCAGGTTCGTCTGGAACTCCGTGATGTCCACATTCAAGGCTCCATCGAAGCGCAGGGACGCCGTCAAGCTCGAGATGATCTGAGCGATGAGGCGGTTGAGGTTGGTGTACGTGGGACGCTCGATGTCCAGGTTCCTGCGAAAGACTTGTTAAAAACATGGGTGCCCTTTTTGGCGGGTCCCCTCAGGATTCTTCAACTTTGGGGTGCATTAGGGGTACCCCTACTGTGGGAAAATACCGATACCCCTAAAGGGGTTTCTGGGGGGGCTGATGGGGTTGAAGGGGTTTATGGGGCTTGTGGGGCTTTAGGGGGCTTGTGGGGTTTAGGGCTCAGGGCTTAGGCTTTAGGGTATCTAGGAACCCTAAACCCTTCAGGATACCCGCGGGAGCTTTCCTTCAAGGAGCTCCTGGGGGTTCCCTGATGAGAGGCGAGAGCTCAGGCTTGAGTGGCAGAGGGTGTTAGGGTTTAGGGTTTAGGGTTTAGGGTTTAGGGTTTAGGGTTTGGGGTTTGGGGTTTGGGGTTTGGGGTTTCGGGTTTCGGGCTTGGGGTTTCGGGCTTGGGGTTTCGGGTTCTGGGATTTGGGGTAGAATATTATAATAGCAGAATAGTATACTCGTAAAGTAGTAAAAGAGTATGCTCATCTAGTAGAATACAGTATGATCGCTCGTATTATCGCAAAATCGTGTGATCGCATTGTCGCACAATAATCTAATAGTATAATCGTATAATAGCATAATCGTATAATCGTATAGTAGTATAATAATATAATAGCAAATCGTATTACAGTATAATTGTATAATCGTATAATAGTATATTAGTTCAATATTCGTTTAATGGTACATTATTAATATATCTACCGCATAATCTTATAAGAGTGTAAGCGTACAGTCTTATACTAGTATAGCAAGGTCTCATAGTATCACATGTACCTTAGTTTTGTGTGCAGATACTTTTGATTAATACGATAGTCAGAACAACAATCCCAAGCCGCCTGCGGCAGATGTCGTAGAGCGCCTCGTTGTCGTACATGATGGTGACGTCCGTGTGCTCTAGCAGGGAGTGGACACACAAGACCTGCTTCAAGGAGGTTTGGGGATTCCCCCCTCTTAAGGCAAGGTTTGGGGGTCTCGGTTTAGAGCCATCTGAGGGCACCATGTTCCAGGGCATAGGGCTCAGGACTTAGGGCTTAGGGTTGAGGATTTAGGGCGAGCTAGGATCGGCCATCCCAAGTTGGGTCCCAGGCGCGGTGTTGTAGGGCTCGACCACTGCCGTTGCCACCTGAGGGCAGCACCAGACCGTGAAGGAGATCTTGCTCTTCTTCCCGTAGTCCACGGACAGGCGCCTCGGCGAACAATCAAGAAAACCATGTACATCAATATAAGAGTATAAAAAACACATAATAATCGAAGGCTCCGCTACGCAAGATAAAACAGCATGCCGAAACCATACACAAGAATTGAAGTTGCTAAGTCACAAGTCAAGTGTTCAAAGTCTAGTGCAAAGCATCCTTGGGTTCGTACTCTGAACCCTTAAAATGGGATCATACACCCTATACTACGATAATCGCTATCAAGCCAGATTCGTTTGGACCACAAGCCCTTTTGGGATTCATGTGAAGCAGGGTTTATATTTCTGTTTTGGTGAGTGTATACAAGGTTCCTTTTTCAACTTGGTGAGTGTATATATTGGGCGTCCTTTTGGGGGTACAACAAATATATACCCTACTTCATGTAGTCCCCAAGGATGACATATCCCAATCCCCTGCGAAAAATCTTGCCATCCAGGCGGAAGCGCTCGAGCATGAGGCAGCCCAAGCCGGAGCCGGTTCCGCCTCCGCAAGCCTTGGATTTTAACCCCTCCATAAATCGATGCAGAAACCACGTCCCTAAACCTAAGCCCTAAGCCCTAAGCCCTGAACTCTACTTTTTTCGCTTTGGTAGAGTTGGTTGAGGGCAATGCTCTCGAAAGCTGAATCGGCAAAGCTGCGTTGTAGACGCAGAAGCCCTGCAAACCAGTGCCTCAGTCGTACCAGCAACAAAGATCCCCACGCTTGCCTCGACGTGTGCAGCATTCACTGTGCAGCTGAACCACATGGTTCCACGCTTAAACCTGTCTGTTTCACGTGTTCCTAGATTGGCTTATGTGAGCCTTGTTTGCAAAGGAAATCTTCACCCCTTTCGCCCCAAGTGGCAGTTGTCGGCCAACTTGCGGATCCTGCCAAGCATCAAGCGTAAGCGCATGCGCGTGGCAAGGAGGATGCCTCAAAAAACACCGACCGGCACAGCAAACATACACAAACAAGGCAAACGACACTTACTCCGGGGATTGCTTTTCTCCTGTCCTGTCGAGAACCAAGTCGACGATCTCTTTCCCAATGGTGTAGTGGCCACGTGCGAAATTATTTGCCTGGGTGAGCATGCTCCGTGTTCAACCCAATGCACCTTCCTTCTCACATTTGCAATCGAAGAATAGTTGCCTTGTGCCAGAAACAGCTTAGCTGCAGCATCTTCCTTGCCAGAGATCAGCTGCTCCGGATGGAACAGCTGGCGGTACGTGCCTGTGCGCACCTCATCCACGACCGTAGGCTCGAGGTCCTTCGGAGGTCATCATTTATCGCAAATGTAACGAAGGGATAGATGCAAACAACCCCTGGGCTCGGGATCCTTCGAACACATATATATATATATATACGCATGCAAAGGGTGAATGCGCTCAACGCATACTTGCCGCCTGCGCGTTTCGCAGCTGATCTATTCTCACAACAAACCACCCACCCCAAAATCCTGAAAGGCTGGGCCCCACCGTGCCCTTGTTACGACAAGCGCATCCTGCAAGTCACCGCCTTTTGACACCGGCTTCATGATCAGTATCAGTTCAACTGAGGCCCCGTCGACCATGACGCAACGAGGGACATGCTTGCCCGCACCGGTCTCACTGAAGAAGGTGTTGAAGGCGTCGTCGCCACCTCTCTGAACTTTTAAACTTCGGAGGGGCGTGTGGAGCCCCTGGTCGCCCTAGTCGTGACTGAGTACTGCTGTGGAAGTTGCCAAGTGTGAGTGTACATGCATCAACCCCCGGCTGATCAAGACGCAAGGACCTGCAATCTCCCGCAACAGCAACACACACTAAACCCCCCTAAGCCCTGAATCCTTAAGACCTCTGCGCTGCGAAGGATTCTCCCCCTCCCCGTTCTGAACTGAACGGCCCTCTCTGCAGCCCTTGATCCCCTGAGAAGCTCTGCAAAAGCGGAGGGGGCCTCCGATGGTCTTGTCCGAGGGCATCTGGCCATCGGGCTGGATTCCGTGCTCGAGGCAGAAGAGCTCCCAGCAGGCATTTCCGATCTGCACACCGCCCTGGCACACACCAGAGGGTTGCAGGCTAGGGATTAGAGAGGTTCGGGTGTCTATGGCTGACTCACATAGCACCGCACCAAGCTAGGCAGCCCCGCCTGGCCAATGTGAATGCAAATGGCCTCACGCATGGCTGCGGGAGATGCACGAAGGCGTCGAAAGCTTTGAAGATCTCACAACGCACCGGCGAAAGGTGTCGGAAGGCTCACCTCGTGATGTGGCGGGCCTCACTTACCAATCTTTCGAGCCGAGGGTCAGGCGCTAAAGCATGCAGCCGCTTCGGGTTTGGGGTTGGGGCGTGAAAGCCCCACGGCCTTCATCTGTACAGACCCTGAAACCCTGCAATATGTTTTAGGTGGATGAAATCGAGCATGTTTATGTCATGTATAGATATTGATATCTTGTACTATGGTAGACACAATACAAGACTGGACTAAGAATAGAAGACAAACAAGAGAACATCCTAAAATACATCTATTTGTTTATTTGCACATATGCTTCTTAATTTTTGAATCCCCAAGCGGCCCAAGCAGGTCGGCCCACTTTTCCCCCCTGGACCAAAGGTTGCAAGGAGCGATCTGCGCGCATGTAGCGCAAACCGCGGCCGCAGACGTCCCCCAAGGAGGCCGGCAACGAACAGCAAATCACAAGCACCTATGGCTTCGAACCAAAACCCTAAACCCGAATTATTCTAATCATATCTGGCCCGTCTTCAATGCTCATGTCATCAGTTCATGGGCATTTGACCACTGTGGGAGTCTGCCGAGTGCAGCCTCTCAGAACTCGTCGCCGTAGCCTTAGCTGTCGACATGTGGGTTTTAAGGGGTACGGCCAGCCTCCTGCTGCAAAATGTCGTCACAAAGGCAACCTAGTAAATACACCATTTAGTCACCCTAAACCCTATTTTACGAGCACCCCTTATGTACCTCAAAAGGCGATAATTTACAGACAATAGGTGCCCCTAAGACTTAGGACCTCGGAAGCCCCCAGATCTCCTGCACCAGCTTTTGCCCAGGGACCCTCTTCTTCACCTTCTCCCTCCGCGGTCTCGATGCCCACCTGCGACACGAAGGTTGTTGATCGTGGCTTTGTTTGGGCGCTGCTTGGGGGAGGAGGGGCCAAGATGGGACCGCAATTTAGAGAACGGCGCACCCGGACAAGGGACAGGGCGCCTCGGGTCTTAAGGCTGAAAGAGCAGGGCGTTTCGGGTTTGGAGTGTTTAGGGTGCCTGGGGCGCTTAGGGCGTTCAGCGTGTTTAGGGTTGAGGGTTCAGGGTGGACTGCAGCCTCCTCGTAGTCCTTCTCCAAGGCCGCCAGGTCTTCGCGAGCCTCAGAGAACTCGCCTTCCTCCATACCTGCTCAGCTTGGAGAGTCGTCGAAGCTAGGGTACCTTTCGGGGGGCGATCTCTACACAAGTGAACCCCCTGCTGCAAACAAAGGTATCTATAAGGGCCTAAACCCTAAGCCCTAAGCCCTAAACCCTAAACCCTAAACCCTAAAACCCCCTACGCCCTACTCCCTGAACCTTCTAGAAAGCCACAAGCCTCGAACCCGGAATACCATCTGGCACCTCCCAGGCCCTCCACCTTCATGCCCGAGGGTTTAGGGCTTCGGGCTTACAAGCTGCATTTGCAAACCCTAAACCCTAAACCCGCAGCGGTCCTTCGCCAACGTAGTGGTGAACGAAGGCGCGCTTCCTGAGCAGCAAGGGGGTTTGGGGACTTCTGGCCTGAGATTCGGAATTGAAGCATTGAGTTTAGGGTGGGGTGTAGGGTGTAGGGCCGGGTTTAGGATTGAGGTTCAAGACTGCACACTGCCTCAGAAGCGATCCAAGGCAAGGCGAGCTGCGAGTACATGAGGTCGAACTTGTGGTCGATGCGCGAGAAGACTTCCTCACATGCTCCCAAAAAACCCGACACCCCAAAACTGAAACCCCCAAACTCCCAAAACCTCACAGAACCAAGACCCTGCTGCGGAAAAAAACTAGAGTCTGAAACGCAAGCCCTTCAACCCTAAACCCTAAGGAACCCCAAGTCCCCGATCGCTGCAACTTAGGGTCGGCAATGGCCGTCGAGTTGGAGATCATGCCTGGGCTTCCCCTATCGTTGCATGTAGGGCTTAGGGTTTCGGGCTCAGGGCTTAGGGTTTAGGGCTTAGGGCTTTTAAAGCAACTTCATTTGCAGAACCCTTCTTATGAGGAAAGCAAGCCTTCACCCAAAAGTGGCCCCCATTCAACAAAACGTCCAGGGTAGCCCTAGCATGAAACGCGAGGATGCTGCACCCACCTCCATGAAGAGGTTGGGGCTTACAGGGCTCACAGGGCCTATGGTGCTTTCTTGGGCCTACGGTGCTGCCTTGGGGCCTTTCGAACCCTGCAGGGCCACTTCGGGGGGGCGCAGCTCGATGGCAGAACGCACAGGTTGCATGTGCTTCACTCAATGCTAAACCCCATAAACATAAACCCTAAACACCCATACGCCTCATATGCACCACAAACCCCAAAAACACCAAACAAAAAGCGATAAAACCCAATAAAACCCTGTGACGCCTATAAAACCCGGTCGATTCGCCTCCACAACACGCGAAGGGTCCCCCGCCCCTTTAACTGCAGGTCTCAGGTGCAGCAAGCACGCATGACCTTGGCCAAGTCGCCACCTGGCAGGCTTTCGGCTTGGGGCTAAGGGTTTAGGGTTTAAGGCTTACGGAATTCGGCTTGGGGGGTGTACGTGTAGGATTCATGAGTCTAGGAGACGCTAAACCCCAGCCCCTAAAAGCTTTTGAATGCCTACGCCCGCCTGGCACGACAGTGGGCGGCTGGTAGTTGATGCCACACTTGAAGCCGGTGGGGCACCAGTCCACGAACTGGATGGTGCGTTTCGTCTTGATGGTGGCCACGGCTGCGTTCACATCCTTGGGCACCACGTCGCCGCCTGAGGCACGAGGGGGCATCGTTCGCAACTGCCCGACAGGTGCTTACACCTTGCGCAACCACAAACTCTGATCTGTCATGACGCATTGAAGTACTCTTTCTTAGCTCCCTGCGGTACATCATGCAGCAGGCCATGTACTTTCCGTGACGAGGATCGCACCTCGATGGCCATTGCAACCACTTATGCACGCTGTCATGCTTGATTTCCGTGTTCACATCAAGCGAAGCGAACGCTATGCATCATTCCTCATGCAGTCTGGGGGACTTCACCATCATAGAAGCGGGCTCGAAGACGGACATGGTGATCTCAGCCACAGACAGCTGCTCATGGTAGGCCTTCTCGGCGGAGATGACCGGGGCGTAGGAAGTGAGCATGAAGTGAATACGCGGGTAGGGCACCAGGTTCGTCTGGAACTCCGTGATGTCCACATTCAAGGCTCCATCGAAGCGCAGGGACGCCGTCAAGCTCGAGATGATCTGAGCGATGAGGCGGTTGAGGTTGGTGTACGTGGGACGCTCGATGTCCAGGTTCCTGCGAAAGACTACTAAGTCTGAGAAAAAACTCTGATGGCCAGGTTCCTGATGAGAAGCCGGCGAGAGCTCCGGTTTGAAGGTTTAGGGTTTGGGGTTTAGGGCTTGGGGTTCAGGGTTTGGGTTTCGCGCTTTGGGCTGGGGGGAAACATCGTATGATAAGGTGCCGAACCATGAAATTTCAAAAGGGTCCCAGGCTATCGTGGGGTTTCCGGTTTCCTGTGCCACGAAAAATCAGAGGCTCGAGTACAATGAAGCAATTGCATAATGGTATACTCGAAAATAGTAATACTATGAGAATACAGCAGTGTAAGAACATAACAGTGTAATGGTATCATAGTAAGATTAGTAGAATGGTAGAATATTAGCTAGCAGAACAGTACAACAGCATAATAATATAATCGCAAAATAGTAATAATGATATAAAAATATAATAGCACAATTGCATGATAATATGATAGTATAATAATCGTATATGAGCATAATAGTATAACAATATAATGGTATAATAGCATAATCGTTTAGTATAACAGTATAATAGTATAATAATATAACGGTACAATATTTTCATGGCATAATAATACAGTAGTATAATTGTACAAGAATATAATCGTATAATTAGTCTAATAATGTCATATTTTGACAATATGAGCACCCGCAAAAATCTTATGTAACCGCTAATTAAATTAAAGGACCGGATCACCCCACATGCAAATTTATCTATTGAGAAAGAGTAGAGAGGTGCGCGAGTGAGTGCGTGGGTGAGTGTGAGTGTGAATGTGTGTGTGTGTCTCTGTGTGTGTGTGTGTGTCTCCGTGTGTGTGTCCGTGTGTCCGTGTGTCCGTGTGTCCGTGTGTCCGTGTGTCCGTGTGTCCGTGTGTCCGTGTGTCTCTGCTCGTGTGTGTGTGTGTGTGTCCGTGCGTGTGTGTCCGTGTGTGTGTGTGTGTGTCTGTGTCTGTGTCTGTGTCTGTGTCTGTGTCTGTGTCTGTGTCTGTGTCTGTGTGTGTGTGTCTGTGTCTGTGTCTGTGTCTGTGTCTGTGTCTGTGTCTCTGTCTGCGTCTGCGTCTGTGTCTGTGGCTGTGTCTGTGTCTGTATCTCTCCGTGTGTGTGTGTGTGTGTCTCTGTGTGTGTCCGTGTCTTTGTGTGTGTGTGTGTGTCTGTGTGTGTGTGTGTCTGTGTGTGTTTGTCTCTGTGTGTGTGTGTGTGTGCGTGCGTGTGTGTGTGTGTGTGTGTGCGCGGCAAGGGTCCAAGGCCCCGAAGCACCGCGCCTGTCCCACGATATTTGCGAGGTTGTCGACGAGAAAAGACAAAAACATCCCCGTGTCTTCACGCGCGCGGAACTCCGTTACCATGCTATTTGCGGTGTTTTCAATGAATCGCCCAGATGTCCGTTACCATGCTATTTGCGGTGTTTTCAAGCGCCCAGATGTCCGTTACCATGCTACTTGCGGTGTTTTCGAGCGCCCAGACGTCCGTCACCGTGCTATTTGCGGTGTTTTCAAGCGCCCAGATGTCTGTTAATATGCTATTTGCGGTGTTTTCAAGCGCCCAGATGTCCGTTACCGTGCTATTTGCGGTATTTTCAAGCGCCCAGATGTCCGTTACCATGATATTTGTTTGTGGTGTTTTCATGCGCCCAGATGTCCGTTACCATGCTATTTGCGGTGTTTTCATGCGCCCAGATGTCCGCTACCATGCTATTTGCGGTGTTTTTCAAGCGCCCAGATGTCCGTTACCATGCTATTTGCGGTGTTTTTCAAGCGCCCAGATGTCCGTTACCATGCTATTTGCGGTGTTTTCAAGCGCCCAGATGTCCGTTACCATGCTACTTGCGGTGTTTTCGAGCGCCCAGACGTCCGTCACCGTGCTATTTGCGGTGTTTTCAAGCGCCCAGATGTCTGTTACCATGCTATTTGCGGTGTTTTCAAGCGCCCAGATGTCCGTTACCATGCTATTTGCGGTGTTTTCAAGCGCCCAGATGTCCGTTACCATGCTATTTGCGGTGTTTTCAAGCGCCCAGATGTCCGTTACCATGATATTTGTTTGCGGTGTTTTCATGCGCCCAGATGTCCGTTACCATGCTATTTGCGGTGTTTTCATGCGCCCAGATGTCCGCTACCATGCTATTTGCGGTGTTTGCGGTGTTTTTCAGGCGCCCAGATGTCCGTTACCATGCTATGTGCGGTGTCTTCAGACGCCCAGGGCGTCCGCGGCGTACTACGTCTGTACTACAAAAAGTCGACTTTCCAGCCACGGAAGCTCCGCGTGTCCGCGGCGTACTACGTTTGTACTAGAAAAATCGACTTTCCAGCCACGGAAGCTCCGGATGTCCCCGGCGTACTACTTGGAGGGTCGGTGCAGAGCGCGCGCGCGGCAAGGGTCCAGGGCCCCTGAGTACCGCGCCTGCCAGCACAAACGACACCTGTGTCGCGCCTGCCAGCGTTTCCCGCGCCCCGAGCGCGCGCGCGGCAACGGTCCAGGGCCCCTGAGCACCGCGCCTGCCAGCAGAAACGACGCCTGTGTCGCGCCTGCCAGCGTTTCGCGCGCCCCGAGCGCGCGCTCGGCAAGGGTCCAGGGCCTCTAAGCGCCGCGCCTGCCAGCACAAACGACGCGTGCGTCGCGCCTGCCAGCGTTTCGCGCGCCCCGAGCGCGCGCTCGGCAAGGGTCCAGGGCCTCTAAGTACCGCGCCTGCCAGCACAAACGACACCTGCGTCGCGCCTGCCAACGTTTCCCGCGCCCCGAGCGCGCGCGCGGCAAGGGTCCAGGGCCCCTGAGTACCGCGCCTGCCAGCCGAAACGACGCCAAAATAGGCGCTGGACGGTGTTGTCACAGTTCTACCGTCCCTCCTCGGGCGCTATTTGGCTGCTGGCGCGGCAGGAGGGTGTAGGGAAATCGACACAGGTGGGAACTACTGGGGTACTACTAGGTACTTGAGCATCGAAAACATCACACGCAGGGGCCCCTTTCACGCTGCAACTGCAGGCGGCATTCGGAGGACGGCGGTCTGCGGGCCTTGGCGCGTTTAGGGGACCCAAGCGTGTTCTGGCGGTGAGGCAAGTCCACATAGCCTGGGCAAGGCCCCTCTGAGGCCGATGCTCCCAAGCTTGCCTATCCAAGGCCGTGCCGGCGGCAGGCAGAATTAGCTCCACCCACCCACCACAAAGGCTCTAACGATCTGCAGCGACGCGGCAAGGATTACAGAAACCGACCTACGTCAATGACAGGGGGATCATCAGTACGCATACGAGCAAAATGGCCTAGCCATCTCATCTGACACTGTTACAGGGCAGCCGGAATCTCAAGCTAAGCACGCAGATCATCCTGCTGGATACCTCTTTTATGCACGCGAGGCAGTGTTCATGACTGCCTGCGTGCGAACATAATCGCGTTTCCGAGTTGCGAGAACTGGAAGCACGGTTAATATGTGAAACATGTACGCGGATCTAAGACACTTCCACACGGTCGGCCTGTGCTGCTAGAGACGGGTAGGGCGCGGCAGGAATACCTGCCCCCATTGGAGAACATTGTGAGTGGGATTCACGTGGCACGGATGTTGAGGCATCATACCGCTGGCAGGGTAACATGCATTTACTGCGCCTTTTGCTGACCGCCTGAGCCACTGCAGTAGCTACAACTTGGCAGCGGTCTGTGAACCCCTTTAGCACGGCATGACATAGGTACCGCGGAAAAACCAGAGGCTCCAAATAGCACAATAGTATAAACACATGACAGTATAACTCTCCGTAACCCGCTTCGAAAGCCCGCTCCGGAACCTGCTCCGGAACCTGCTCCGGCATCCTCCAGAACCCCTGCTCCGAAGAAAAAGGGCTGAAGGCCCCAAAGCTCAAGGCTCAAGCTGTTGAGGAATAACAGTATAGCAGAATAACAGTATAACAGTATAACAGTATAACAGTACAACCGAATAACAGTATAACAGTATAGTAGTTGGCAACGCGTCCACACATTGGCGGAGTGACCCGGCGTAAGCAAACGCACATAAGGGTATAGACCCAGATGCCCTGAGAACGTCACGAATGACCAAGAACTCAAACTACAAAGAGTGTGAATATACACATCGCAAAGAGGATACGCTGTACAAAGAGAGAGGTATGCTTATGAGTACAGGAGGGTGAGTAGAATAGTATAATAGTATAATAGTATAATCGTATAATAGTATAATAGTATAATAGTATAATAGTATAATAGTATAATAGTATAAGACTATCATACGATAACAGAATAATAGTTTAATAGTATACTAATATAATAGTATAATTTATAATCGTATAGTAGTAAAATAATACAATAGTATAATAGTATAAACGTAGAATAACATAAGATTATGATGGTAAAATAGCATAATAATTTAATCGTAGAAAAGTATAGCATAGCGTAATAGTATGATAGTAGAACCGTACATAGTAGTATAACACTACAATGGCGTGATCGTATAGTAATATACTCGTATACTAGTATACTAGTTCAATAGTATCATCGTATACTACGCATATATCATAGAGTATATTACAATAGTCAGAACAAGTATCCCCCAAGCCGCCTGCGGCAGATGTCGTAGAGCGCCTCGTTGTCGTACATGATGGTGACGTCCGTGTGCTCCAACAGGGAGTGAACACACAAGACCTGCTGCTCAAGAGGGGCAGCATGTTCCAGGGCGTAGCGCTTAGGGTTCTAGGGTTTAGGGCTTAGGGCTTAGGGCTTAGGGGTTAGGGGTTAGGGTTTCGGGTTTAGGGTTTAGGGTTAAGGGTTTAGGGTTCAGAGTTCAGGGTTCAGGGTTCAGGGTTCAAAGTTTAGGGTTTAGGGTTTAGGGTTTAGGGTTTAGGGTTTAGGATTCAGGGCGAGGGAGCTGAGGGCACCATGTTTTAGGGCTTAGCGCTTCGGAAAGGCGATCCCAAGTTGGGTCCCAGGCGCGGTGTTGTAGGGCTCGACCACTGCTGTTGCCACCTGAGGGCAGCACCAGACCGTGAAGGAGATCTTGCTCTTCTTCCCGTAGTCCACGGACAGGCGCCTCGGCGAACAGCCAAGGCTCTAATATTACAATTTCAATAGGGTCATTGTGCACTCGTACAATAATCACAAAAACACACATAGTAAGCGAAAGCTCTGCTACACAAGACAACAAAGGGGGTCCAGCAGTCCTCCAACCATACAGAAGTCGTAAGTCACGCGTCAAGTGTTCAAAACTCAGGGTGGGCCCATGAAAGCCCAAAGAGGGAGCCCCTGGAAAAATCCTGCCATCCGGACGGAAGCGCTCGAGCATGAGGCAGCCCAAGCCAGAGCCGGTTCCGCCTCCGCAAGCCTTGGTTCGTAAACCCTCCGTAAATCCATGCAAAAAATCACGTCCCTAAACCGAAGCCCTGAACTCTAATCTCTTAACCTTGCTAGAGTTGGGGCAACACTCTCGAAAACTGAATCGGCACAGCTGCGTTGTAGACGCAGAAGCCCTGCAAACCAGTGCCTCACTCTGTCGTAACAGCAACAAAGCTCAAAACAATGACAATACAGCAAGCCGGAAAACCGCTCGAACATCAATCCATGCGTGCTTCGACGTGCACAGCATTCACTGTAAAGCTTGCCTGACACCCAAAATAGATTCCGCGCTTAAACCGGTCTGAGTGGAGCTTCACCTGTTCCTATAGCTTGAATTTGTGAGCCTTGTTCACAACGAAAACTCAAACGTCACCTCTTCCGTAGCAAGTGGCAGTTGTCGGCCAACTTGCGGATCCTGCCAAGGATCAAACAAGGAGGATGCCTGAAAAAACACCGACCGGCACGGCACAAATACACGAAAAAATGCAAACGACACTTTGGGAATTGCACTTCCTGTCCTGTCGAGAACCAAATCGACGATCTCTTTCCCAATGGTGTAGTGGCCACGTGCGAAATTATTTGCCTTGGTGAGCATGCTCCGTGTTCCATCCAATGTACCTGTACCTTCTCACATTTGCAATCGAAGAACAGTTGCCTTGTGCCAGAAACAGCTTAGCTGCAGCATCTTCCTTGCCAGAGATCAGCTGCTCCGGATGGAACAGCTGGCGGTACGTGCCTGTGCGCACCTCATCCACGACCGTAGGCTCGAGATCCTTCGAAGGTCATCATGAATTGCAACTGTTGGGAAGGAATAGATGCAAACAACCCCTGGGCTCGGGACCCTTGAACACGCATATGCGCATGCCGGGTGAAAGCACTCCACGCATACGTCTCTTGAAAGGGTGTCTTGCCACATGCGCGTTTCACAGCTGACATGTCCTCACAACAAACCAGTAATTAACGTAAGAATCCTGAAAGGCTCGGCCCCACCGTGCTCTTGTTGCGACAAGAAACGTGAGACATATGAACTTTGCAAGTCGCAGCCTCTTGACACAAGCTTCATGATCGGTTTCATTTCAACTGAGGCCCCGTCGACCATGACGCAACGAGGGACATGCTTGCCTGCACCAGTCTCACTGAAGAAGGTGTTGAAGGCGTCGTCGCCACCTCTCTGGGCTTTTGCGTTTTGCCACTCCCTGCCTAAACCCTAAACCCCGAACCCTACTAAATTAAGCCAACACGAGTTCGCCCACTTAGAACCCCCAGTTCTAACTCCCCGGTGACCTCCAAGTAGGCCTAGTTGTTACTGAGCACCGCTGTCGAAGTTGCAAAGTGTGATTGTGCATGCATCAACCCCTGGCTGATCAAGACGCAAGGACCTGCAATCACAGGCAACACACACTAAAACCCTAAACCCTAAACCCTAAACTCTGATCCCTCTGCGCTGCGAACGATTCTCTCCTCTCCCCGTTCTGAAGCGCTGAACTTGTGGGGAAAAAGGCTTCTTTTCGCACCCGAAGAACAGAATCGCACTAATGGGCCCTCTCTGCAGCCCTTGATCCCCTGAGAAGCTCTGCAAAAGCGGAGAGGAGGCCTCCGATGGTCTTGTCCGAGGGCATCTGGCCATCGGGCTGGATTCCGTGCTCGAGGCAGAAGAGCTCCCAGCAGGCATTTCCGATCTGCACACCGCCCTGGCACACACCAGAGGGTTGCAGGCACAAGGGGCAGGCAAATAGAGGGGCTTGGGGTCTGGAAGCCTCATTGGTAGTTCCGGACTTCATCAACAAGCAGTGCGTGCTTCACGGCCAGACCGGCCACACGTTCGCAGCATCCACGCACGAAGCTACGCAGCCCCGCCCCGCCTGGCCAATGTGAATGCAAATGGCCTCACGCATGGCTGCGGGAGATGCACGAAGGCGTCGAAAGCGTTGAAGATTTCACAACGCACCGGCGAAAGGTGTCGGAAGGCTCACCTCGTGATGTGGCGGGCCTCACTTACCAATCTTTCGAGCCGAGGGTCGGGCGCGAAGCATGCAGCCGCTGCGGGTTCGGGGGGGCATTTGGGGGGGTGAGAGCCCCGAAGCCTTAGTCCCGAAAGACCTTAAACCCTGCAGAGCTGTGGGTATCATGGACATGTCACACAATCTTATCTGACATCATACAACTATATAATGCAAAGATATGAAGTTTCTTGCGCGCAAATACAAGACTAGACTAGACAAGGAGACAATGCAATACACGTATACTAAAAAATATTTGTTTTTCCATATTCCTAAATGCACATATGCTTTTCAAAAAACGAATATGTGTATGTGTATATATATATACATATACACATGGATATATGGCACTTGTCTATGTACTTTTAATGTTAAAGTATACACATATCTACCTATAATCAAATATGGGTGGTTGTCAAAATTGACATCCCTTTTGGGGTACCCAAAATATTAGGTGCCGTATTATCATAGGGTTTAGGGTTTAGGCTGTAGGGTTTAGGGTTTAGGGTTTAGGGTTTAGGGTTTAGGGTTTAGGGTTTAGGGTTCCAAAAAGGGACCATCATTTTGAGCGGTGTAGGGGCTGTGCTTGGCCTCTACGACTCTGCGAAGCATCGCTCGGACCGGGCGCTGGGCGCGTCTGCAAAGCGCTCTGCCGCACCTGGGTCGGGAACGGTTTGGGGTTTAGGGTTCAAGGTTTCAGGGTTCAGGGTTTAGGGTTTAGGGTTTAGGGTTTAGGGTTTAGGGTCTAGGGCTTAGGGTTTAGGGTTTAGGGTTTAGGGTCTAGGGTCTAGGGTCTAGGGCTTAGGGCTTAGGGTTTAGGGTTTAGGGTTTAGGGTCTAGGGTCTAGGGTCTAGGGTCTAGGGTTTAGGGTTTAGGGTTTAGGGTTTAGGGTTTAGGGTTTAGGGTTTAGGGTTTAGGGTTTAGGGTTTAGGGTTAGGGCTGAGGGTTTAGGATTTAGGCCTCAGGGACCAAGGGCTGAGGGTTGAGAAACCCCGCAAAACCTTCAAGCCCTGAGCCTCTGAACCAGAAAACTCCGCAACCTTACGCCCTGAAACCCTGAAACTCTCAAACTCTCCCGCCCTGAAACGCTGAAACACTCAAAAGCCCTTGAACCCTTAAACCAACTGAGGGCTGAGTCCTGGGGCTCCCTAAACCCTAAAACCTAAGAGGGGGTTTAGGGTTCAGGGTTCAGGGTTCAGGGTTTAGGGTTTCGGGTTTCGGGAAGAGGGTTTAGGGAAGAGGGGGTTTAGGGTTCAGGGTTTAGGCCTAGACGCTTATCCCTAAGCCCCAAAAACCAACAAAGCCCGAACCCTGTAAACACACCAAACCCCAAAGA